TTCAAGATGCATTGGCTTCAACTTGAGAAGATTGAACTGGACTTCAGCGTAAAAAGACTTTAAGTGTTCATTTTAGATTCCATCTTTAAGGTTTCATCTTAAAGTTGCCAAAAAACACTGCTCTAGGAGCTCCTTATATTAACATTTTAGAATTAATACTAGTATTTTATGGGACGGATCGATGCTTTTATTCCATGTGTGGGCTGTGCTTAGTTATTGGCCCATTATAAATGAATTTGCAGATAATACTATTATAACTGGAAATGTGAAAGTTGGTCCTATATAACCAAAACATAGTAAATAATTGATTTACATTGAATTGTTCCAGCAAATTCTTTTAATGTGGCCTGTTGCAGTTGTACATAAAATAGCTAATGGTAACCTGGGTTTATATAAATGACGCACCTGTGATTTTAACATCTTGCACACAACTGATTGTTGAAATGTGACCTCTTGGGGAGAAATTACCCCAAAATAGGTGCCTTGTAGTGAAGGTTTTAGGGCATTGTGAGTTTTTAATTCATTTATTAGGTTCCCTGATTGTGCTGCTCTGTTGGGTGTATTTATTAGCAAAAATAGGATTGTAGCTTTAAAATACAACCAGGCTTACTCTAACCCATAACTCCTCCTTCTGGAAGGGGTGTTTGTTTAAATTGAATGCCTTTCAGCCTAGAGTAATCTGATTATTGTCATCTTCTTAGGAAAGCCTATTTGCCTTTTTGCTCTTGGTGTGAATAAATCCATTTTTAGATCATTGCACTCTGTTTCTTCTCTTCCCCTATGAAAAATATTTGGCTGTCTTGCAAGAAATGGAATTTTTTTTAAGCCCAGATGTGGTATTGAGAGCTTGGCCAAATTTGGTAAGTTTGTTTGGGGTGATTTTATTCAGTTTCACTCTGGATTTGGCTTCAGTGGGACCTGGCACAGGGCAAAGATTTAAATTTTATAAGCCGGTCAGACTCACCTATGGTGCAAGTTGAGCGGCTAAATAAATTTGTTTATATAAATAAAATAAAGATCTATCTCTTGTTTATACCCAAAGGAAATTTCCAGGCAAGAAGTAGCTAAACCAGAATGCCTGCTTCAAGTATTTCCCCCCCCCCTCCCGTTCAGCAAAAGGGAGTTTTTTAAAAGAATTGCAAATGGGTTACTTGCTTTAAAAAATGTGTTTTTCTTTTAATTAGGAACTAATTGAAATATCAGCATTAGTTAGGCAATCTTTCAAATTAGATTTCCTGTTCTTTCTATTAATTCTATTGAATTGGTTTCCTTTTCAATATGTGTGATGCCTTTAAAAATCATTTGGGAATGAACCACTTGGAATAAGCCACTTTTCTGTCATTATAATGTCTGTCGAGTCCTGCCAGTAACACAGATTATATTATGCAAGCGTGTTGCCTGTAAATCAGCTGAGCTTTCCCTTGAGGTCAAAGTATGCTGCCTTTCTTTTAGTATGTGAAAAATATATTTTCTGTTTTGTTTTCCCCAAAGTTTATTTTTAAGAATTAATTTAATGCAAAAAAATGTTTTGCTTCAACTAATATTTTCAAAAGCTGATGTATGTATTACAAAATTGAATCAAACTGAACACAGCATAGATGTGTCCCTGTATCTTTAAAAAAAAAAATACAGATGCATTTTCCTATTGCCATTTCCGGATGTTCCCCCCCCCCCCCTTTTCTGGATGCTGGAATTCCACAGCCAACTGCCAGTCCTGGGTTGAGTGGTTGTCATGGGAACGCCTCTCTAGGAACAGCATCTCCTCTTTTTTGCTGCTGCTGGACCAGCCTTATGGGCTTTTGAGTGTCCCAAATTGGAGGATCCCCCATCCCTATTCTAGAACCTTCCATGGACCCCAAAGTGCCAGATCCGGTGGGCGTTGAGATTAAAGTTGATGACATTGTTTTAACAAGCACTGCTTCTGTTTTCTGTATTGTAGGCCGCCTTGCCATCTTTGGGGATTTGAAAGGCGGACTACAATAATTAGGGTGGGGTAGATTAAATGGCTTGTGAATTGGGATCAGGGGATGGACTGAGTCATTGGACATGGTGGGGAGGTTGTTAGTCCTAACATAAGATGGGCTACGTCGTTTCCTAGGTTGTTTCAGACTGTGGTTTTGCATCCCCTGGTCATGTTGCTGTGGCTTCTGGGAACTGGGGCCTGAAATTTTGGGGTTACTAATCTCTGTGAAATGGGGAAGGGAAGGACCTGACTTTATTTTATATTTGTGTCATATTAATCAGCTATCACCTTCATAATCTAACTATATTTCTGATAAAGAGTTTGGAATATAAATCAGAGATGGAGTTGCTATCTCTTACTAAATCATTGTTTCTTCTTTTGGTTTACTGACCATCTCAAATTCCTGGATTCAGACCTCACACTGAGCCTTAAATCATGGCTTAAAATTGTGCTAGATACATTCAGCAAGCTACACTCCAACAAAGCAGACTATGGTTTGGTTTAGTAAGTGGACAAACTGTGATTAAAGCAAGCCAGGTGTAGCAGTGTGTGTGAATCCCAATTTTGAGGTTCAAGCAGATTGCCACCCTCAATTTTATGGTGTTTGGGCATCCAACATCCTGGTGGGTGGGTGGGTGGATGGATGGATGGATAGGTGATAGGGAAGGAAGGAAGGAAGACCAAAGGAGGAAGGGAGAGAGAGAGAGAGAGAGAGAGAGAGAGAGAGAGAAAGGAAGGAAGGAAGAAGGAAAGGAAAGGAAAGGAAAGGAAAGGAAAGGAAAGATGGATATACTAAAATACAGTTTCTATTTTAGGGACAAAAATGGACAAGCTGGGAATCTAGGTGTGTGTGTTTCCATCCTACATAGAGATATCTTGGAAGGGTCCTCCAAGATTTTAATCTTCATAGAATTAAAAAAAAAAGTGGGGTGGAAGGAACAAGAATGTCCACTGACACAACCACAAGGAAATCTGGCCGCACATCACACAAAACCTCAAGGGTTTTGTGTTGAAATACATCTTCCAGTACAGGATGCCCTTGAGAGTTTTTGGCCTGATGGCTTTCCTTCCACCACCTTCCCGGCAACCCTGCAATATTTTATTTCCACAAGTTCTTCCTCCACCAAAGCCAAAAGAGGAAGGACATATTCTTAGTTTCTCTTTGTCTTTTTTTTTCTTTTGGTTCTGATCAGCTTTTTCCAGAGAACTGTTTAGATCATAAAAAGGTTTTGGAGCTTTAGCCAATCTCAAATCAGAGAGACTATCTAGGTCATAGGAGAGAAGGGAAAAAAGTAACTGAAAAGCTGCTGCCTTTTTATTTGAGTCCCTTTCCATTTTCCATTATGAGAAAGATGGACTGGATAAAGATGGACTCTGAATCAGCAACAGTACGTTGGTCTTTTTTTCTCGCTCTCTTCCTTCTTTCCTGACACTTTAGAACCGAAAGCTACCAGGTGGAAACTTTTCTGCAACCAGGAAAGTTTGAATCTCTGACATCAAAGTTGATTCTGGGGCATTTTTGACGTTCCTTCGACTCCACATGCATTCTCTAGAACGTGCCTTGATAGCCACGAGGTAGGGCATGTTGTAGAAGAATGTTGGCTTTGAACTTCTTTAGTTTAAAATGGCTTTTTCTTTTCTTTTTTTTTTAACCGAGGAACTCTTCTGTAGAACTTACTAGAGTGCCTCCAGAATGGCAGGAAGCTGCTGCTGGAGAAGGTTCTTGCGTATATTCCAGCAAAGATGGTTGGTGAAGATATTGTTATGAGATTGGAGTCTTCTGTGTTGGTGGTAGAGTTGGCAGCCTTGTTAGGATTCAGGCAGGCTTCAGTGTTGATTTCCATTTGATCTAGAAAAGTTCAGAATTGTCCATTTGTTCCTTCGAAGTCTGCTGTGGTGGTTCTATGAGAATTAAAATTGATGTTCTTCAGATCTGTTGAACCTGAGTTTTTCAGAAATGGGTGGTATGTCAAATAAACTGTTGTCCTTCCATTTCTGACCGGCATTCCTGTTCATGCTGGGAGTCATTACAAAACCAGTTATGTTATCCAGTTGAGCAAGATGGTTGCTCATCACATTGATGTTTTCTTGGCAATGATGTGGGGGGGGGTTGCCTTTGCTTCCAGATTGTTCTTTTTCATTTCCATCTAGCAACTAAACAGGGTGGACGAGAATTAATAGGGCCATCTTTTCCCACTGAATGTTTTCCAAATCGTTGAGATGCATAATGCAATTTTTAAAGACTTTGGGAATTCTGCTGATGCTGCCTTCTTTAATTTTGTTACCTCTACTGCTTGGAAGCTCTGTGGGAACTTGTTTTTTTTGTATTTTCAAAACATTTACTGTGCTAATTCTTTGTTTGATGTTACTCTTTGCTGCCCTGTGGATTTCAATTGGATGAAAAGGCAGGATATATACATTTCTTTTAAAAAAAATTGAGTGGGATTGCTCGGTTAGAATTTAAAACGGGAGAGAAACACCATCGATTCTTGGCACGAGGTTTTCTGCTGTTTGTGAAAACGGTAATTACTACCTGTCGCACAAATGTTGCAATGGGGAAAACTGCATAATTTCTGCATAATAAGAAAGACTGAACTCATCCAATGCCTAGAAATTCTAGATGCTGCTCTAAAAGAATAAAAATAATTCAGAATTTTCACTGTTTGTGGGGACTTCTGCGGGATATCTTAAGATCGGAGAGTCTGCTTTTCCTCTAATGTAAGAATGATTGGACTTTTTCCCAGAAATCAATGTGAACAGCGTGCTCACAGCTGCCGGTTAAACCAGATGACTCCAATGTGGTACGCTGCCAATGAATTGACATGGTTGTCCATTCTTGGTCTACATCTTCATTGCAAAATCTGGAATTTGTTCTTTCAACACAATATGACAGCAGCAGTTGGAGAAAGCTGCCTTTAGTAATTGGCAAGGAACCTTTATGCATAAATCTGCATTAGTGGAAAAGCAAATTCCTAGAACATTAACACACACAAACACATGGATCATTCACAACTTCATTGTTTTTCTTGTTTTATAGTTCGCTGGGGAAGAAAAACGATTTGGGACTCGGACAATAGTGGTTGGCCACCACTTGGTTCCTCATATTGAAGCTTATGTGCCCCAAAAGTTCTGCTCCAATCAGATCGTCTCCTCCAAGGTAGGGGTTGATGGAACTTAATTGGTTGGATCCCTCTGCACCAGGGCCAGCTTGAGGGTGATCCATGCAATGCCTGCTTAGAATGTAGAAGGTCTTTCCCCAACTGGTTGCCTTCCAGAGGTTTCCAGGTGTATAGCCCATGCTGGTTGGGAATGATGGAAACTGTAGTCTGACTTAAGATATGGGAACGGACCTCAGATCGTCACACTGGTTGGTTTTACAGTTCCAGTATCAAGAGAGTTTAGAGCAAGGTTGTCCAACCTTGGGAACTTTAAGACTTGTGGACTTCAACCTAACTTAGCTTCAGCCAGACATTCTTCAGCATGGCTGGCTGAGGAATTGTTGAAGTCCACAGGTCTTAAAGTTGTCAAGATTGGACAACACTCCTGGTTTAGAGTCTCAACTTGATTAGTGAACCTAACCCTATTGTTTTCTGATTTTAATCCCAGTCCACACAAAATATGGCATCACATAGTATGCTAAACTGTGGTTTAACACAAGCTAAAGTGTAATTCCTATGAATAATGAAAATCTCCTCTTTCTATTCATTTGAATGGTTGACACCAAGCCAGCTGCATTCAGGCAATATGTTGGCTTCTAAACAGCCAGATCAAATTTTGGCTGAACCCAACTATAGAACCGAGACTGTATCTAGACTTCCCAAAACTCTGCAGAGTTTTCTAATTCAGAAAAGGATCAGTGAAAACAATGTTGTCTTCCATAGTTACTGTAGCAGAAACCTGCTTTTTGCAATTTTTTTTTTAGGCTTGTTTTCAGTATAACTCTGTTGACTTTTGCTTTTATTTTAGGAAAGGTTAAATCTAGCAATGTGTATATATCTATGTGTTTTAATAAACATTGGGTTGGTTAATTTTCTTCAAGCTTTATAGCATGAAGTGTTTTATTGAGTTACTTTTCTGTTTTAATCTTGCACTTCTTCAGCATTTTCTTTTTTTTAGGAAGCTGAGGTTAAAAATCTATAAACAAATCAAATAGTTCACCCCATCACATTTCCTGATTTCCTTTGCTTCAGAATGTTCGTTTCAATCATTCCCCCCCCTTTTTTTTTGGTAACAACCTATGTAATTGTATTGGGATAGGGAACTTGAATAAAAATTTGCAGCATGTTAAATTCATATTAAATATTAAATTTAGAGCATATATATTCATTAAGGTCTGCCTTCCAGCTTTTCACTTTTTCAAAGTCATTTTGAGAATGGTATTTATTTCTTGGTGAACTGATAGTGGACTGATAACAGATTTGTAGGATTGATGGATACCTACTCAAAGAAAAAAAATAATGCTTTAAAAAAAAGTGAAAATTAAAAAAAAGATTTGGAGTTCAGCAAATCAGGAGAAGTCCTATAAAACCTGCCCTTTGGTGGTATTAAGATGTATCCTATCTCATTTCTGCCTTGCAGTATACAGTCTGGAATTTTCTTCCCAAGAATCTCTTTGAACAGTTCCGAAGAATTGCCAATTTCTACTTTCTTATCATCTTCCTTGTCCAGGTAAGACCACCTTAAAGGAAGGACCATCAACAGATGTAGTTTGGATTGCTTTTATTATATTTTTTTAAAAGATAAATCAGCGGCATTTTTTTGTCCTCCGTTGTGGGTGTAGATTCTGAAAATGTGGGGTTGCTGCACCCCAAAGGACTAGAGTGAAGCTATTTCTAAATATGTTGTGGTTAGGTTTGCCATAATGTCACCTGGCAACTCCCCAAATACCTGGAGGCTTTGAATCGGGTGAAGGAACCTGACCTAACTTGAGATAAATCAAAATTGCCATTGGCCATGGGTGTGACTTTTCCATGTTTTCAGGGACAGGTAATTTAGTCCAGAACTAATTAACCAGTTGTAGAGAACCATGCCAGAAGAGACACGTGGTCATGTGTGGATATTTGCATAATCCTTCTGTCAACGATTTGATTTTGATCAATCCTCTGGAATAATTGTGTTGGGGCATTAAGAAATGGATTTCCAAAACGAAAGTTTGGGGCCAAAAAAGGGATCTTTTGACTCTGGATGATCTAGAATGGAGGCTTCCAAAGTTGCCTTCAAGTGGCAGATTCTTCAGCAAAATCCCTCCAGAAGACCATCACAAATTCCTGATGGTCTTCCACAAGCAAATAACATGCTTGGGAAGGAAGGCTCTTTTGACTTTTGATCGCCTCTTCCCTTGTTGGAGAAATGCTTCTATAAAGTGGCACCCAATTTAGAAGCATAATCAAGGAATAGCTGTTGCCTTTTGTCCAATCCTGTGACTTTTCTGCATCTCTGTTTAGGTGATTGTGGACACACCAACCAGCCCCGTGACAAGTGGTCTCCCTCTCTTTTTTGTGATTACTATCACAGCTGTTAAACAGGTAAATCTTGCTCCTTATCACAGCAAACAAAGTAAGAGGATTGTTTCTACACACTTCTTGGTATTTTAAGTTGATCTTGCTACAACCGTGAGCTCTTGTAACTAGGGAGAAAGGGATTTGCGTCTGGAAGGCTGTTTTTAAAACAAGTGGAGCCCATTTCTTCTGTCCCTTGCGTTCTGGGATTGAATTTTTTCCAGTTTTCTGGTCTGTGTATTCCTCCCCTTTGTTTCTTCAGGGATATGAGGACTGGCTGCGGCACAGAGCGGACAAGGAAGTCAACAAAAGTGCAGTCTTTGTGATTGAAAATGGAGAAAGTGTGAAGAAGGAGTGTGAAAAGATCAAGGTAACAGGCGGGGAACCAGTTTCTCCTCAGTTCTGAAGAGTAATGCTGTTTAAGATGCATGGACTCCATTTCACAGAGATTCCTCACCAGCAGTTCTGGGCATTGAAGTCCACACACTTTCAAGTTGCCAAGGTTAAGTTAGGCAGACAGGCAGTTTTGAGGGATGGATGGATGGATGGATGGATGGATGGATGGATGGATGGATGGATGGATGGATGGATGGATGGATGGATGGATGGATGGATGTTTGAGGAGTAGATAGATAGACAGACAGACAGACAGACTGACTGACTGACTGACTGACTGACTGACTGACTGACTGACTGACTGACTGACTGACTGACTGACTGACTGACTGTTTTGAGGGATGGATGGATGTTTTGAGGATTTCATAGATAGATAGATAGATTAATAGACAGACTGATAGATAGACTGATTGATAGATAGACAGATGAGCAGACTGTTTTTACAAAAATTACAACTCTCTGTTTTGGTTTTGAGGTTGGTGACATATTAGAAGTGCCGGTAGATGAAACCTTTCCTTGTGATCTAGTTTTACTGGCCTCAACTAACAAGGAAGGGACCTGCTACGTCACGACTGCCAGTCTAGATGGAGAATCAAATCACAAGGTAAGAGGACAGGTGAACATACCCTTGTGGTTTTCTTGGCAAGAGATCTGGGTGTGGTTAGCTCTAGTCTTCTTCTAGAACTCGGAGTCTCCTGGTTTCTAAACTGGTGTCTTAACTGCTACATCAGAAGGGGACGCCAATCCTTTCTACACACAGTTAATTGTTCTGTCCAGAATGAACATCTGAATTTCTCTTATGCTGATTTCCAATGAATTTGCTTTCTTAAAAAACAAAACACATCAGAATATGTAGAAAGGATTGGGTATAAATGCTAAAAAGCTTTTAAAAAAAAAACAAAAAAAAACTTCAGTCTTGACAATCCTGACCATCTCAGCTTAAAGTTATGGAGTAATTTTTTTTAAAAAAATTGAGATGCCTCTCATCACCAGTTGATCCTGTCTTTACAACCCAAGAAGGGCCTTTTCTGAAATGTTTGCCATGCTCCATTACTTCTGTGGGCTCAGCTGCCTCTTATTTGATCATTGCCTACTCTGTGGCTCTTCCCCCTGTACCCCAAGGTCATCCTCACAAACCATTCAACCCTCAAATCCACCTGGATGACCTTGGTCTATTCTTCTGGGCATCCTTCCAAGCAAAGCAGTGAGGTCTACAGCTGCCCTCCAGAGATACTTAGGAGACAGGTTGGACTCGGAGACATTCTTGGAAATCAAAGTGATACTAGAAGCTGGGACTTGTTTTTCCCTATCAGTTTGGTAGTTGCTATGTTCTTGTGAATGCCTAAAAGTCAGAGTGGAACTGAGCGTCTAATGAACAGCCAAGAGGTTTGACATTAATCACGAAATGGTTTGATTCCCATCACAAAGTTCATTCACTCATTGCTGCATAGAATGAATACCCGCATTTTTTGGGTGGATCATTAAAAATTGTCTTCTGTTGTAATCTAAAGAGCTCTTAAACTAACAAGTAGGAAAAAAGAAGAGGAAAAAGAGGGACAGAAATAGAGGAAGAGAATAGTAAAGTTTTCCCCTTTTTATATCTTTCTGCAGCCCTGTTTCTGTCTCGCTTTTTCCTCTTTATCTTTCTTCCTGATTGTTAGTTTAGGTTAGTTTTTATTTGCACATTTTTGTAAAAAAAAATAAAATAAAATAATTACGCAGCTGTAATCTAAAAACTTGAAGTAGCTTATGGGGCAACAAGATACCAATGAATCCCATCCAACGATGGGTCAGATTACAGATTTAAAATTGGCAGGAGTCAGCTGTTGGTGTGTCTTTTCTTTTCTAGACTCACTATGCTGTGCAAGATACAGCCAAGATGAATACAGTTGAAGACATGAACCGTGTGGTTGCCACCATAGAATGTGAACAACCTCAGCCAGATTTGTACAGGTGAGGTTTGACGTGGAGATCTTCTCATTTTGTGAGAACCTCACAGCTTGATAGTCTCTTTCTCCACACCTCACTTCCTTCCTTTAAGTTTAAATTGCTGCAACTCCCATATGAAAATGAGCCATGTAGAGTACATCAATATCCTGTTCTGTGTATGTCTCAACAGATTTGTGGGCAGAATTAATATCTACACTGATGAACCAGAGCCATTAGCCAGGTGAGTTCCTTTGCTTGATGGATTGGGATTTAACATCTTGTAGCTAATTAGCTGGAGAGGAGTATGGAGATAGCCTTGAAGAAGCTCTGTATGGCAAAGTTGGGGAAACATGAAGCTTATCTGGGAAAACAGGACGGGTGAGGAAGAAACTCAAGAAGGCTTCACCTTGATTCTCTTTGCTATAAGTTCAACGTTGACGGGCTTCCAGTATGTTACAGGATCCAGTCTGAGTCGGTCACCGGGATCAGAGGTTTTCCATTCCAAGCATTTGGACTTGTGCTGGAGCCCATCTTCAGGGAACTTCACCGTGTGCTTTGGACTGTTCTGTGTGTGGTATTTCACAAACAGTGCACATAGTGGAATGAGAGAACTTGTTCCTGTAATGTTTCAAATACCACACACAGGACATTCCAAAACACACACGAGAAATTCCCTGAGGATGGGCTGTAGCATGAGTCCAAAAGCTCGGAAGACGAAACCTCTGATCCTGGTGACCGACCCAGATTGGATCCTGCAACGTTATCCTGGGACATATAGATTTGCCTTCATTCGTTCCAATAATGTACGTTTTAGCCTATATCCATAAGTTCTAGCATTTCTGACAAGATCTGTTTTCTGATCTGCCCTACCTCAAAGGGCTGGCACGGCTTCTTTTTAATATCAAGGGCTATCACATTTAGGCTAGAGAAATCAAGATGTTCCTTAGATATCAGCTGTGAGATACAGACAAGCTAATCTTTGGCTGTCATCTTAGCGCTGATCCAAATTTTTGAAGTCCAGATATGGTAGTGCTGTAATCCTTGCCTCTGACCTCTCTTTCTCTCCTCCACCTATAATTTTACACATTTCCCCATGTACCAGGATGTCATAAGCGACCTTAGCTTTGTCATATTCTAAATAGTTTTTCTTTTTTTCAACCAGTGATTGGCCATTGACATTTTCCAGTTGCTTCTCTTCTTATAAATATTCTGATCCTCCCTTTTCGTTTTAGGCCGTTGGGTCCTGAGAATCTTTTGCTGAAAGGAGCAAAATTGAAAACTACCCCAAAGATTTATGGTGAGCAACTGCTTTCCTGCTTCTCTTTCTCATCGATTGATTTTCTTGAGAGTTGCAATCCTGGGCATGTCTAGGATTTACTTCAGAGTAGGCATATAGAAGACAGGGCTGGTGCCTAACCATATTGCTGCCCCTTTTTTTCTTTCTAGCTCTTTAATTGTTAAGAAGTTTCTCTCTCACAACTGTGTTTGTTTCGTAGGTGTCGCTGTATATACTGGAATGGAAACCAAGATGGCATTGAACTATCAAGGGAAGTCTCAGAAACGCTCTGCGGTTGAAAAGTAAGCTGGAGGACTATCTTCCCCTGCTCTTTGTGTTTATAAACATTCTTTTAAAGCAAAACAAAAGAGATGTTTTTTTGAGTCTGGATTGTGTACAAAATGCTGTAGTCTCTTCTATGCCTTCTTCACACCAGGAAGGGATTAATATTTGCAGATGGGACAGGGACCCAGGCCACAGGTCCTGTAATTCCTGAAGTTGGATTCTTCAGTCCATGGGCAATCACAGATTCCCCTCCCTTGATCTTCAGAAGCAAACAGTTCAGCTTAATGGTCCAAGTTGTGAGCTGAGAAACCTCTTGAGATAAGCAACTGATGAATGAGATCACATGTGGAATTAGTTAATGGATCGTATTTTGGGATTCAGCCTCTCTCTCTTTGCACTCTTGAGCTAATGCATCAGACAAAATGGCCTAAGTGGCTAGAATGCAGGATTGCAGGCTAACTCACTGCCCACTGCCAGGACTTGGATCCTGATGGGGCTCAAGGTTGACTCAGCCTTCCATCCTTCCAAAGTTGGTAAAATGAGGATCCAGATTGTTGGGGGCAATAGGCTGACCTTAGAGAGGGCTGTAAAGCATTGTGAAGGGTTATATAAGTCTACGTGCTATTGCTGTTGGGTTTCAGCAAGCTGTTTTGTTTAGATCAGAGTTGGGCATTTTACGGCCCTTTGGCTGTCCATGTCCATGGCTTGCTTTTGTTTTGAAGGCAAGTGCTGTTTTGTTTTTCAGTTTGTGTATGTTCATGTGTGCATGCCTATGCATCTTCACAGCCATATTAATTCAGCCCTCCAGAACAGTCCCCGCTTCTCATGTGGCCCTTGGAGAAAATTAATTGTGCACCCCTGGTTAGGTCTAACCTCAGTTAAGCCATTGCTTTAACACTACCTCTCATCCCATTATGTGTATTGTTTGTGAAACACACGATATCGCCCTAACTCTTGGAACGTTTGATTTTTCCAGGTCAATCAATATGTTCCTGTTGTTCTACTTATGCCTGCTTGTGAGCAAGGCTATCATATGCACTACTTTGAAATACGTCTGGCAGAGTGTCCCATATCACGATGAACCCTGGTACAATCCCAAAACCCAAAGAGAGAGAGAAACATTCAAGGTAGAAAGGTTGACTTTTCTTGGTTGGCAGTTGTCTACACTCATATTTGTTCCATGCATGAGTACTTAGCGTATCTTACCCGGTGTGTGTCTGTGTTCTTTTCAGCTGCTAAAGATGTTCACCGATTTCCTGTCCTTCATGGTCCTCTTCAACTTCATTATCCCAGTCTCCATGTATGTGACTGTCGAGATGCAGAAATTTCTGGGTTCCTTCTTCATTACGTGGGACAAAGAGATGTATGATGAAAATATCCAAGAAGGTGCGTTGGTGAACACCTCTGACCTCAATGAAGAACTTGGACAGGTCAGTAATGTCTCCCCCATGCCTTCCACCATTCAACAGGCAAATGTTGGCTGGTCTTCTAATCTTCTTGCATCTGTTTCTCTGCAGAAAAAGAGATGGTGTCTCTTATTACCAAACAATAGTGAACCTAGGTTTCTTGTTACCAGCTGAAACTACTCTTGGATCTCAGATCCGATAAGGGCAAATGCTACTCTTGCAGTTGGTGTGTGTCCACCTGGTTGAATTCTTTCTACAGTAGCTTCTTCTCCAAAGAAACTATCTTAACAAGGAGAACTGTCTCTAGAGAAAACATGGCGCATGGTTTGTGAGTTGTGAGCCTTTAGTTTAGTCTCCGGCTTTAGTACCAATTTAAAAACATGATTCAATTACTCCTCTCTAGGATTTGTCATATCTTGAAACACAATATACACATACAAAAATTTAAAAGGAAGGAAGGGAAGACAGAAAGGGAACCGAAGATGGCACTCCTTAATTTTTTTTTATTACTTCCCTTCCATGCACAAGTGTTACTGCTGACTTTGTTTTATCTGAAATGTCACTATTTGGGGGAGGAAAAAACCCACAGATGCTCTGGCAGAAAATTGTGTCTATCTAATCTAAAATTGCGCCCTTCTAAAAAGAATATGGTCTCCTTTTCCTTCTAGGTTGAATATGTGTTTTCTGATAAAACGGGAACTTTGACGGAAAACACCATGGAATTCATTGAATGCAGCATTGACGGCTTCCGATACTGCGACTCCTTTTCAGAAGTGGATGCCAAGAGGTCTACAGGAAAAGCAAACAAGGTACAACATGCCCCACCATGTTTCCAACATAGGAGGTTGGAGAACAGAAGACTCCTGGGCTTCTTCTGATTTTTAGATGCCTTTTTTGTGGGATTCATAGCTGCATCTGCTTGGCCTACACATGGTAGACTCAGGGCCTGAGTCATGGTAGATCCCTACCATGACTCAGGCCCTTGTTCAGGAGAACCTCTAATGAATAAGGAAGCAGAGTACCTCTTCTGAAGTTGAAGATCAGTAGCCCTTGTGAGCTAGGTCCTGACACCCTTGGATTTATAACTGCTTGCATTAACCGTTGACCTGGGTGAGGAGAAGGGACATTCTGTCCAGTTAATTTTAAGTTAAGGTGGTTTAATATTTACACAGTATGGCAGTTGCTAAGAATGCTGATGCCCAGCTGTCCATCTCAGCAGATCAAGGGGTAAGGATATGATCAAGGTTGTCCCACCTCCCCCAGGTTTGACTTGAGGAGAAAAGATGGGACGGTTGGACAGTTGGAGCAGAACCTTGTTTAGAAGCCATGTTGGACTGTAGGAACGGAATGTCTCCCAGTTTAACGCCGTTTCTCCTCTTGGTTACCCTCCTTTCTAGAGTCAAGAAGAACTGTTCCTTCGAGGTTTGTGTGTCTGCCATACGGTTCAAGTCCAGCAGAAAGATGAAATCGATGCAGCGACATTGCAGCCCAAAAAGACCCAAGTCTATGTTGCAGCTTCTCCAGATGAAGTGGCTTTGATACAGGGGGCTCAGAAGTAAGACCACTTTGTCCATTTTTCCCCCACTGTATTTTCTCCCCCTCCCACTTGCCTTCACTGTCATGCAGATGGTTGATGGATGGACAATTCCATTATCTTTGGATGCTGAGAATTTTGACATATTGCATGATTGACTCAGTGGGACCTCTGCTCTCGTGCCCCCATAATACAGATAGTCCTTGACTTATAGCCATAATTGAGCCCAGAACTATAGACATAAATCATGGCGGTCATTAACTGGGACACCATGTAACCCTGCCCGATTTTACATTCTTTTTTTGTGGCAGTTGTTCAGAGAACACTATGGTTGTTCTCTGCTCAAATCTCACTCCTCTGCAGTCTTTATTTTATTTTGTTTTATTTAGTTCACTTTTTTCCGTATCTAAAGGGTGTGCATGTGTGATGCACGTACGTGTCTGTGTGTGTGTGTGAGAGAGAGAGACTGTGTGTGTTGGTTTTTTTTTTTCAACGCCATTCTGTCCTTTTTGTTCATTGACAGGTATGGTTTCACTTTTCTAGGACAAGAAAATAACTTCATGATGGTAGAAAATTCCAAAAAGCAAATTGAAAGGTAGGTTGGTTTGCAGGCTAGCCTCAGGGGTCTCCTCAAGGAAGCCGGGCCTAGTCACGGCAGCACGAATTAGTTTTGAAAAGGATCCAGAATTGAACCAGCTGGTTTAATTTTGGCTTTTTCCCAGTCCAATTTATATAGCCGTGTTTGTTTGTTGAGCTTCATGCCAAACTTCTCACGTTCATTTCTGATTCTGAGGAGCCAGCAGGATGTGTTGAACGATTGGACCTGTCAGGTCCACCCATCAGCTCCATCCATGTTTTCCCGATACATAATTAAAACTTTAGGCAGGACTTGGAAGCAAAGTGGCCCATCTCAACCCCTCTTGAAATATGGATCCTGCCTCCCCAACTCAGTAAAATATGAGGGTGATGATGATGATCATCCCAAAAATGATGATAATAACAGATAACAGAATAACAGAGTTGGAAGGGACCTTGGTGGTCTTCTACTCCAACCTTCATCATGATCATAATCACCATCGTCCTCATCAAAACATCAATGTTCTTAGATGAAATCTTCAAGATTTGAAGGAAGCTTTTAGTCTTTTCATTCAACGTGGGGTCTATACCTTGGAGCTGAGATCCATGAAATCCCACAAGCGTTCACAGGCTTGCAATATTTGGGACAGCTATTTTTTTTATATAAAAAATAAAAACAAAGCCAGGACAATGAGTGTTTGGGAAAAAACTGCCTAAGAGATGCATACATCCATACATAGCTTTTTAATGTGGTTTTCCTGGAATGGAGGTGTTTCTGCTATTCTGTGCTGCAAGTAGTCTTGCTTGTATTTACAGGTACCTTTATGTTTTAAATTTTTCTAGTTATCCCTGTGTTTTGTATTTAAGAGTTAGCATAAATCACAACGTGTGGTTGTGATTCTTCATGTCTGACACTTTTCTCGTTTGAGCTTGATGGGGTTAGAATTCCTTTCAGTTTCCTCACCACTAAATATTCTTTCTCTCCCCTTCCTTCTTAAACATAAAATAAAATAAGATACGAACTTCTGAACGTCCTTGATTTTGACTGCGTCCGTCGCCGGATGAGTGTTCTCGTGAAGATGCCGGATGGTGAGTGGAAACCCAGGGAAACTGATATAGGAGGAAGAGTGTGAACTAGCCCTGTCATCTCCCCAGGAGAAATGTTCATATGGATGGACATATGACGAACGATTGCAGGATCTGGGTTTGGCTAGCTAGAGAAAAGAAGGTCTGCGTATGGATGTATCCCTGCCCCTTAACTAATATCCAAATGTTCTGTTTCCCTGTCTTTTAGGAAGAATATACTTGTTTTGCAAAGGAGCAGATTCTTCGATTTTCCCAAGGGTCCCCGAGGCTGAAGCACAAAAAACAAAAATCCATGTGGAACAGAATGCATTGGTAAGTCAGCTGGGCTTGTAGATGTTCAGGAATCCATCCTCCTCAACTTAAACCCCAAGGAAAGAAATTGGTGGAGCCCTTTCCCTTTTCCCACTTCTCCTTCTCCTCCTCCTTTTCCCTTCCTTCCTTCCTTCCTTCCTTCCTTCCTTCCTTCCTTCCTTCCTTCCTTCCTTCCTTCAAGAGGGCATATTTAGAATTAAGAAGGAAGAAGACTACCACAGTGAAGGAGATCTTCAAATTTTTAACCAAAAGTACCATGGAAATTGTGGGTCAATTTATCCATGGGTGACACATTTTTCATGGTATTTTGATTACAGCTTCCAGGTTCTTCTTTTCCATGGAGGGGATTATCCAAGAGCATAGACAAGAAGTGGGGTTGGGACGAGTCTCATATCTTAGGTGGCAAACCAAGAGAGAATCACACGGGTGATGTTCTCAAGACCTCACTCGTAGCGCCGTGCTTCCTTCAGGTTGCATTTGTCATCCACCTGATCCAGTCTGGCCCATTTTAAGAGATGATGGACTATATTTCAGAATGGTTCTGGATGCCTCTCTTCTGGAATATCTTGGCTTCAGGGATCACGTCTTCTGTTTGTTGTCTCTCAGGACGGCTATCGGACTCTCTGCGTGGCCTACAAAGAAATACCTCCCGCAGTCTACAAAGTTCTAGAGGCCCAGATTAAGGAAGCCACCGTGGCCTTACACAACCGAGAAGCCAGGATGGCCAAGGTCTTTGATGAAATTGAGAAGGACATGCATCTCATCGGCTCCACTGCTGTAGAAGACAAGTAAGCCCCACTGGCTAGTTAGGATAACCCATTGTGCCTTCCCAGGCAGTTGAAGTCCCAATCTATTTTAATCGGCAGCTTTAATCAGATGAAGGTGCAACGTGCCCAGATTCTTCTGTTCAAGTGCGAAACGTTGAATTTGCCCATTTAGTAGCCCCATGAGTAGGGGACATGCTTTGTAGACCATTCTTTGTCAAACTTTCTGCATTCAGAAAATGTGGGGACCACCCAATTAAACCCCCTTCTCATCTTTTTCTCAAGGAGCAGAGGACTTCTGGGAAGGAGAGGGATAAACAAAGTGCTACTTTTTTTTTTAAAAAAAAAAAAGCTTTTTAAATTAAATTTGGTGTCCCAAAAGGCACTCCAGAATTAAGGAAGTGTTTGACACCTGAATGATTTAACGTACCCCATGCTATAATTAACCACAACTGCTCATACCAGTCAAAGATGCCATGATAGAAATGTTTGATAGGTTAAGTACCTAAGCTAGCTTCAGAAGATGGGACTTCGAGACCAGAGTGTCAGGGGAGGGAAGACTGACTTGTCAAATCAGGCTGAAAAAATGGGAAAATCCCTCTAAGTGGTTACCCGGAGAAGTGGACGGAGAAGACCCACTTTTAATTTTGTGTTGATCCAGATTAGATTTCTTCTACATAGTCTTCTTGTCTTTGCTGTCCTCAGTGGGCTGATGTGTGTAGCTCAACTGCTTCCTTGCTACGTGTTCTGAAGGACCCCTTTTCTAAAAAAAGAAATCCAGTGATTTGTCCTTTTGGGAAAAAAGGCAAAATAGAGAGCGAGCTTTGAGGAAGATCCCCACCCATTGGTTGAGTCCTTTCCACTGATTTTCCTGCAGACTCCAGGATTTTGCAGCAGAAACCATCGAAGCTCTTCACGCGGCAGGCATGAAGATCTGGGTGCTGACGGGGGACAAGCTGGAGACGGCCCAAGCCACCTGCTATGCTTGTCGCCTCTTCCACACCAGCACAGAGCTCCTGCTGTTGACAGCGAAAACGGTGGAGGAAGGGGACAGGAAAATGGAGCAGCTTCACGAATTGCTGCTGGAGTATCACAAAAAGTTGGTGACTGACGCGCCTCAAGGGAAGAAGTGAGTGGGACCCTAAGCAGTAACCAAAGCGGTGTTTCTCAACCTCAGCCACTGTAAGAAGCGTGGACTTCAACTCCCAGAATTCCTCAGCCATAGGTGCAGGCTGGGGAATTCTGGGAGCTGAAGTCCACGCCTCTTAAAAGTTGCTGAGATTGAGAAGCATCGATTTGAAGGGTTGGGAGATGGGCTAATTGCCACTGCAGCACTTTGCAATAATCAAGAGGAGGGGTCTCCAAACTTGGCAACTTGAGGACTTGTGGAATTCAACTCCCAGAATTCCCCAGCCAGCATCCATGGCTGAGGAATTCTGGGAGTTGAAGTCCACAAGTCTTTAAAGTTGCCAGATTTGGAGACCTTTGATCTAGGGGTAGAGAGAGAGGAGAGATCCATGAGGATGGACTTTTGTGGCCTGAGATATTTGGAACTCACATTTTCCCAAGTGCATCAACTTTTATTGTAAGAGCTGATCTCAGTTTGACCTGCCTTGGCCCCATTAAACCAAGCTGCTGGATATCTTAAGTTCTCCTTGTTTTTCTGCCTTGATGTCTTCCTTGCAGAGAACCCAGAAATGCTATTTTTCCATCTCTTCCTTCTCAGCTAAAGAAGGTTAATTCATTTAAGTAGCACATAAAACACATTTTCCTACATGTCTGACTCTTAAAGGAATTAAAACGGACAGAAGAATAGAAGGATTTGCTACTCCTTGAGTTTCATTCATCCTCAATTTTTCCTCCTTGGCTCTTTTTGGATACAGCTGGAGTCATATCAAGGTCTCCAGCCAACGTCACCTTTTTCTGTTTCAGAAACTGGCTGTCCGGTTCTGACTATGGGCTGGTCATTGATGGGGCCACCCTTTCCCTGATCCTGAACCCTTCACAGGATTCCAACTTCTCCCATTACAAGAACATCTTCCTTCAGATTTGCCTGAAATGCACCGCCATCTTGTGCTGTCGGATGGCCCCGTTGCAAAAGGCTCAGGTGTGTTAATGTCCTCGGTAGTGAGCCAAGTCACTTCCTGTCCCAGCAGAACCTTGCACGGCATCCTTTCTGCTGGGGAGGCACCTCTTTTGGGAAGCCAGTGGCCACAAATGTCTGGTCTAGTCTTGAGTTCATTTTTCAGGGTGGTGTAGTCCTTGGGAAACTGGTTCAAAGTTGGGTGAGGAACATCTCAACCAACCTCTCCTGATGCACCATCCATCTCTCTTCCCTGCAGATCGTCCGCATGGTTAAGAATTCCAAAGGCAGTCCCATCACACTGTCTGTTGGAGACGGGGCCAATGACGTCAGCATGATTTTGGAAGCTCACGTGGGCATCGGTAAGCATGGCTGGCTGAGGAATTCTGGAGGTTGAAGTCCACAAATCTTAAAGTTGCCACGTTTGGAGACCCTCGGTCAAAGGAAACAGCGCATATGAGCTCCACAAACATATAGGAGCCAAGCTGAGAGAGTTTATATCAACTTCTGGCTGATCAGTATATTGAGGCCTCTTGACGTGCAAGGTTGACCTGCTCCATTCTTCTCCTCGGCCAGGTATCAAGGGAAAAGAGGGACGCCAAGCCGCCCGGAACAGCGACTATGCCATCCCCAAGTTTAAACACTTGAAAAGACTGCTCTTGGCACACGGGCATTTGTATTATGTCCGAATCTCCCATCTTGTACAGTATTTCTTCTATAAGGTAAAGGGAATGGCAAATTGGTTTCGGGGGTCAAGGGGAAGGTGGGCAGGGGGGACTATGCCACTGCCAAGCCTTGGGGGATGTTCAGCAGAAGGTTAATAGGGAAGCAAAACACGCTTGGAAGGAGGTGGCAGAGCCAGCAGGATCCTTGGGGTAGGGGGCAAAAGTGAAATGAGGTGAACAGAATGACGGAGTGCAACACTCGCCCTTTGTGAACATCACACTGACGTTCAATTACTCCAATCCATTCTACAGGTAGTCCTCAACTTATGACCAATTGTTTAGAAAACTCCATTGCAGTCATAACTTGAGGATTACTTCTGTTTGGTTATTCTACTCTACTCTACTCTACTCTACTCTACTCTACTCTACTCTACTCTACTCTACTCTACTCTACTCTACTCTGCATTCTATTCTATTCTATTCTATTCCATTCTATTCCTCTACTCTACATTCTATTCTATTCTATTCTATTCTATTCTATTCCATTTTCCACTCCACTCCACTCCACTCTACTCTACTCTACTCCATCAAAAGTATATAAAGATATAAGACATAAAAGTCTAATGCAAAATGGGACCTACTAATAAAGAATAACAAACAAAGAGGATTGAAAAATGGTAAACAACCTAAGCACCGTCCACCCTCATGCCAATCTGATGGGAATTGAGAGCCGAATGTAGATAGCCGAAGGCTGGGATAGACTATTTAAAGGGAGCAGCTTCTGACTCTCAGTTCTAAATGCAGAAACAACGTTTACATCATCTGGTTTTCTTGCTAACATGTTTTTTTTTTCTGTCTATCTCTCTCCCCTTCCCCCCCCCCATGTTTCTTTTAGAACCTTTGCTTCATTTTCCCACAGTTTTTATATCAGTTTTTCTGCGGCTTTTCACAGCAGGTAGGTGGCCCTGTGTGTTGTTACTGACGTTGTGATCAAAAAGTAGTCCTCAACTTAGGACGCATTGCTTAATGACTGTTCAAAGAAACTATCGGCTTAAAAAAAGTTACTTATGTAGACGTTACAATTGCTGTACTGCCCCTCCAGTCACATGATTGTGTTTCAGGTGCTCAGCAACCATCTCAGGTTTATGACTGGTTGCAGCATCTCGCGATGATGTGATCAAGTTTTATAACTCTAGAAAGACTCTGGAAAGAGTGCAGAGAAGAGCAACAAAGATGATCAGGGGACTGGAGCCTAAAGCATATAAGGAACGGTTGCTGGAATTGGGTATGTCTAGTTTAACAAAGAGAAGGACAAGGGGGGACATGATAACAGCCTTCCAGTATCTCAGGGGCTGCCACAAAGAAGAGGGAGTCAAGCTATTTTCCAAGGCGCCTGAAGGCAGGACAAGGAGCAACGGATGGAAACTCATCAAGGAGAGAAGCAACCTAGAACTAAGGAGAAATTTCCTGACAGTTAGAACAATTAACCAGTGGAATGACTTGCCTCCAGAAGCAGTGAATGCTCCAACACATTTGAAGTTTTTAAGAAGAGACTGGACAGCCATTTGTCTGAAATGGCATGGGTTCTCCTGCTTGAGCAGGGGGCTGGACTAGATGACCTCCAAGGTCCCTTCCAACTTTATAACATTTTTTTGCCATTTTGAGGCCAAAAATGCCCATTGGATAAGCTGGATTTGGACTTAACAACCACATGGTCCACTTGGTCACCCTGTGATCCATTTAACAGCTGCCCGAAAAGGGTTACATAAGATCGAACCCAGTCATATGGCGATTCCACAATTGCCACAAGTTAACCACCAAAATTCCGGGATCAGTTGTAGTCATAAGTCAAGGACTACCTGTAATTTGGGGTGACAAAAATTCTTGCACGTCTGGGGACTGGAAGCTTGGTGTTCTTTTTGTGAAGGAGGGCCCAGTCTGTAGCCTTTCCCAGCTTGGACGACTGGGAGAAGAAGCTTTCTCCAGTTGTATAGAGAATGCCTTTCATTTTGTCGTCTTCTTTTTTTTTTTAACACTTCCTCTCGCCAAGCCCAGAGAAGCTGCTCCTTCAGCCTCCCTCTTTGTCCTTTTCTCAAGAGCAAAAGGCAGCTGCGGGCAACCCTCTCCCTCCCTCCCTCCCTCCCTCCCTCCTTTTGGGGGGAAAAAGACCCCAGGGCAACAAAAGAATCCACTTGCAGCCTCAAACCACTCCGGCATTGAACTGACTCTCCTGCAAAGGGCAGGTGTGAACGGAGGAGAAGCTGTTGTGCGGGAGAAGTCCAAGCCATTGCAGGTTTGAACGATTGTTCCCTGAATGAGCCGAGGCACCGCCGCCGTTTCACAGCTGTCCCCATCGTGGTTGGAGAAGGAGAAGGAAGTGGCCTGCAGCTGCCCTCTGAAGGCTTCAGGGTTGTTGTTGGTTTTTTTTGCTGCTTTCACCAAGAAGGAGTCCTCCTTCTCCTTCCTCTGCCTGCCTGATTGTCTTCCTTAGTTAGGTGAGGAGCTGCCTCATTAGCAGGGCTTGCCAAAGGGCCATTGTTCTGGAAAATCTCATTTGGGAGGAGATAATGAGCAAACAGATGCACGGTTCCACCAGGTCCTATCCCAGCTGGACTCGTGAGCGTGATTTTGCTGCTTCGGAGAGAGCTGGTTTCGTACTTTCCAGGTCTTGGAACGTTGCAAGTGGGACGGAACAATGCTGACACGCTGCCTTCGGTTGCTTCTGGCTTGTTCCTCAAAAGGTTTCAAGGCATTTTGCCAAACAAGAACAACACAGAGTGATTGTCTCGCCCCAAGATGTAGTCTTGCTGGTGATCGGGTTGATGAATCGTAGCAGGTCTATGCTGAGAAAAAAGTCAAGGTTATATTTTTCTCGCAGCTCACTCTGGGCATTTCAGGAAACCACGAATGGTGCTTATCCTCCTTTATTCAGGAAGCCAGATGCAATATATCATGCTCAAGTCCTTCTCTTTTTCACTCCAGCCTCTCTATGATGCGGCTTACCTGACTATGTTCAACATCTGCTTCACCTCTCTGCCAATTGTGGCCTACAGTCTCCTGGAACAGCACGTCCCTATTGATGTCTTGATGACTTTCCCAAAGTTGTATTTGTGAGTATGATCTCCTTCTCCTTTTCCTCCTCCTTCTCCTTCTCTTTCTCTCCTTCCTTCCTTTCTTCCTTCCCACACTCCTCCTCCTCCTCCTCCTCCTCCAGCAAAGTCTCAGAACAGCTCCAAAGTGGGAACTTGGTCTTATTTTGCTGAACCTATCTTCTTAAGGTCTTTCTGATCTGCTCCATTTTTCCTTTTGAAGACTTTTTTTTGGAAGTAGCTTGCATTTCTGATGTCCTGGCCTGTATTTGAGGTCCAAATTTGTGTTTTTCTTGCTAGGAATGTTTCTGACAACGCTATGCTCCAGTTGAAGCCTTTCGTCTACTGGACCTTCCTGGGCCTTTTTGATGGTTGCGTCTTTTTTTTTGGTGCTTACTTCCTTTTTCAATCTGCCTCTATAGAGGACAATGGAAAGGTGAGGTCTGACAGACCCAATTCTTTGTAATAGTGCATTTGTGTGTGTGCTTGGTAGGTGTGTGTTTGTATGTGGCAACACAGGCCATAATGTTACCTCTATCTCTTTGATGCGCCTATAAAGGAATAGGTAACGTACTTCCTTACATCCAGTCAATGTTCCCTCTGGCTGCATCTTATTTAAAGTGTATTTATTTTAAACCTGTATTTATCTTAACAGGTACTGTTGTTTTCAAGGCAGAATCCAGCAGTATTTCTTAATTGCAAGTTTTGACGTCATGTTTTTCAGATGGCAGGGCTCTGGACATTTGGAACGATGGTTTTCACTGTCTTGGTCTTTACAGTCACACTAAAGGTTAGCACTCTATTATTATTATTATTATTATTATTATTATTATTATTATTATTATTATTATTATTATTATTATTATTATTATTATTATTATTATTACAGTCACCTTTGACAGGCTGGGTCTGATATTACAGATCCTGGTGAGATTAAATTCTTGCCCTGATCTCAGTGACGCCTGTCCTCAAGGCCCACCAGATGACAGGGAAGCCAACTCATCTTGAATGGGCCAGCCTGAAGGTGCTGGTGATGATTTTGATTAGGATCAGTAAAAATCAGTGCAATGTGAAGTCGAGGTAGGAATGTTAAATTTCTTGTTTCCTTTTTTCATAGCTGGCATTAGATACTCGGTTCTGGACATGGATGAACCACTTTGTCATCTGGGGGTCCTTGATTTTCTATGTCTTTTTCTCCTTCTTCTGGGGAGGCATCATTTGGTAAGCATACTAAGACTTCACGGGTCACCAGCACAGGGTGGTCCCTTCACCAACTCCTCTGAAGATTCCTAACCTTTAAGCCATTTTGAAATGGATGGACACCCTACTTTAATAAGCATAAGCTATCTCTGAGGCTTGGAAGAAAATGTTGGAGGTGGTTCGTCTTTTCTCCTCAAAAATGCCCTCCAAATTGAAGTGGCTTCAGAGATGACCATCTCAGAGGGCCAGGATGGGGAATGTGTCATCCTTACGGGATGAACGAGACAAGCCTCCCAACCAGATGAGCGAATTCTACTTTAATGTAAAATTAGAACGACAGAATCAGCAGAACTTTCCCGCCATCTGAGAAACTAGGGACGGTCTCTTCGGAGCTTTTTCCTCACTCCCTTCTTCCGTTCCTCCCAGGCCTTTCTTGAAGCAGCAACGGATGCATCACGTTTTCGCCCAGCTGCTGTCCTTCGCCTCCTCCTGGCTGGCGATCATCTGCCTGATCTTCGTTTCCCTCCTCCCCGAGGTCATCGGCCTCGTCTTTAGACACCTGAAAAGGAAAAGCAGCGAGGTAAGAGTGGAGCAGAAAGGCTGTGAAGTTGAAGAATGGATCCCACTCTTCTAAGCCAGGCCTCAAGCGAAATCACGGACAGGTGTTCCCTGCAGTTGTTGTGTTTTGTTTTGTTTAAAAGAAAAATCTATTTTTTTCTTTTTTCTTTCTTTCTCTTGAATGTTCAAACAATTCCCATCTGGTTCAACTCAGCTACAGCGGACAAGCAAACAGAAGGGTAGCTAGTGTTTAGCAGTCCCCATCTTTCTGTCTGAAGATAGATTAGCCATCCACCGTATCATCCTGGTAGAATCCATCCAGATCAGGACCGGTCTGAAAAGGAGAGGTTTTATTTTTTCCAGAATTACAACCTCCCATTCAAACTTTGCCTTCTAGGGAATTCAGCTGGAACCAAGTCCAGGGTAGATATTTCTCTCTGTGCCTTGTTTTCAAGGAAGAAGAATTTAGTCTAAGACAGGGGTCGCCAACCTTGCCCACTTTACGATTTGTGGACTTCAACTCCCAGAATTCTGTCTGAGGAATTCTGGGAGTTGAAGTCCTCAAGTCATAAAATGGCCAAGGTTGGGGACCTCCAGTCTAGGAGGCCCTCAACCAGTTGAAATCTGAGCACTCTGCTTTTCCTCTCTCCTCTGCAGGAGAGCAGATCCCCAAAACATGCCGGTTGAATTTTTAAAGGTGGTCTCCTTAGGGGGGCTGAGTTTCTCTCTCTTTCTCAACATCCCACGCTTTGCAATGAAGCTTTGAGTCTCAATGAAGAGTCCACTGCCAGTGTTGTGGGTTGTGCTGATCAATCTGCCGTTTCCAGCCAGTTTTATTTTTTTCCAGATTTGGGATCCTGGAGACAAGGAACCCAAAAGAACTGTGGCTGAAAACAGCCGTTCTGAAACTTAGGAGCATAGTCACGGCTGGTGCGTTCATTAATTTCCTTCTCCAGCCTTATCTGGAGTTTGTTTCAGAAACAGCTGGGAAAGGAGAAATCTGGTTACTCCCGAGCTTGGTTTGAGGCCGCGTAGGTAGGAGGAGCCATTGGGGGTTACACCTGAGAAGGGAAAAGAGGAGGCCATGTAGGTGTGGTTAGTTGAGGAGAGAGAGAAAATGCAAAGCTTGAGACTGAAACCTTAACTGGGATTTCACTACACTAAGATCAACTAAGGCGCTGAGGTTTTGGTCCATACTTGAGCATGAATGCAAGACATTATTTTTATTATTTTGTCTTTTAAGGTGTTGCAGTTGGGACTGTCCAGAGGGATTTTGTCCGTTTGACGTGTTAGCGGGGTCTTTTGGAGGGAGGGAGTGGTTTTGTTACAGGGAGTTGTAAAACGGAGACCTCTGCTTTGTGTTGGCTTGTAATGTAGTTTTCCAGTAAACTTTACACAAAGAATATGTTGGAAGAATAGTTTTTGCTAGAGTATACAATTTATTTAAAATACAAAACATTTATATAGCCACCCAACTTCTAACCAAAGACAAAAGCAGCAAAAACCATAAAACAGGAAGGAGGGGAGAGCAAAGTGAAAACACAATGTTTTGCTTTTTCTAAAAAATGGAGGCTACGGAAGGACTATCTGTGGTATGGTTCTGTCTCTCTTCATGGAGACAATGCTCATGTCCTCACATTTCCAATCTGAAAAGAGCCAAAGGAAGAGAAGGGAGGACGGGACTGCAACACAAAATTGTTGCCAAATTGCAACTGGAGAGCAATGAGAGATGTTTCCCATCCCCTGTAGAGCCATCTCTGGTGGGGTTGGGATGACCTTCTGGTGGGAGGTATGGACGAAAGGGAGAGTCCCTTCTCATGGAACCTAAGAGCTGGAAGGAACCCAGTGGTCATCTAGTTCAACCCCTGCCCTGGTGCAAGACCCTACCGCCGTTTCTCTACCCGATGCATAATGAAGCTTTGAAATCTGCCAAGGGCCATCACCTTAGACGGATCGAAGCTGTGTTTCTCTATCTTTGCACCTCTAAGCTGGGTGGACTTCGACTCCCAGAACTCCATGCTGGCTGGGGAATTCTGGGAGTCGAAGTCCATGCAGCTTCAAAGTGCTATGGTTGAGAAGCGCTTCTTTAAAGCAGAGTTCCCTAATCTTTCCGGGCTGGACTTGCCTGACCCTTCCTTAGTGGACCTACTGCAGCCTGAAAGTGATGGTGACCCCCAGCCTGGAGGCCTTTCAGATTGTCTCTTTGAAAGCGTTTCGCTTCTCATCCAAGAAACTTCTTTGGTTGGTTTGAAGTCAGAATTGAAGAAGCGAAACGCTTTCAAAGAAACAAACAAACAAACAAGAAAGTCCAGTTGCCTTTCGGAAAAGCATCTTTGGGACAACCATGACCTGGATGATCGGAGAATCTCCATAGACTCTCTCTGACCCATTACACAGCAGGACAGATCTCCAGAACTTTAAATAGAGCCTCTCTGTCCAAGAGCACGCTTCCCCAGACGTGAGGTGCCGCTGAAGAAGTTGCCTCAATCGTCTGGCTTCCCATTTGACCGACTGTGCCAAACTCCAGGTTTGCAGAGAGTTAAATTCTCAAGTTTTGACTACGGCAAGAGAGGCAACGCCGTGCAGAAAGAGGCCTGTTATTCCTCCGGGTTGGAAATCGCCATTGTGATGCCATAGTGACTGACAGCCTTCCTATCAAAAGCTGCCTGGCCCCCGTCCCTAACCTCGCAGTTTCTTTCTAACACGTCCTTTCCGTTCCCAACTTTTATTATCAGTACTTTTCCTCCATTAAAAAAAAAACATACCGGAGTAAAAAAAAAACCAACCTAATTTGTAATATATTATTTTTTGTCCTGCTTTTTCCACCTGCCTGATTTTCTCTCTCTCTCCCTCCCTCCCTCCCTCTCTCTTTTCTCTTTCTCTCTCTCTCTCTCTCTCTCTCTCCAATTTCCCACTTTCCTTTTGTCTCGTCGTGAACCAGGTAACCCGGCGTCTTCCTTCCTCGGGAACATCTACTATCTTCGTCCTCTCTCAAACCTCCAGTAATCACAGTTTCTCTGAATGAATAAGGTGATTTTCTTCTTTTTAATAAGCTGCCAATCGCCGCAGTCGCTCCTTTGCTTTCTTTCCGCGCGTCTGACCTTTTGATAATGCGCTTATCTGTCTCCCTTGCATTCTGCTTTGCTTTGCTTTTTTTTCTTTTTCTTTTTCTTTTCTTTTTTTTTAAAAAAGAAGGAACACTTCATATATTTGCTGCAGTTCCAAAGCCCTGCTTAATTGCCATTCCTTTTTTTTTTTCCCCTCCATCTCCGCCCTCTTTCCTTCCCTGCCCATGTCATCACCGATCCAGCTGCTGTTTTGGAGGGTAGTTTGTCGTGAAATTGCAATTCCAGCATCTGCAGGAGGAAGCAGCCCTCTGCACTCATGTGCCAAAATTAAGTGTACTGGATGGTTTTGCTCCCGAATCCCTGCTGGGGATCAAATGATAGAGGCCACCAAGGTTGCCTTTGCAGTAAGAAGCAGAGATGGTGTCTCAAAAGGATAGAAATGATGGGGCCACTCCAGGCTGAAAGGCTAACATCTTAGCATTCTGGAAGCATTTTGACTGTGGTTTGTTCTCCAAGCCTGTTTTAATATAATTCCTGAACGTTTCGTTACCAAACTCATAAGCGTCTTATGTGCCAGTGTGGTCAGTTGTGAGCTAAAGAGAAATAGGAGAAGAAAATCTTGCTGATGATGTTACCTAGTTTGGCAACGAAACATTCAGGAATTATATTGAAACAAGCTTGGAGAACAAACCACAGCCAAAATCTAAAAGCCAGGCTACAAAGTTTTCCTATTATTATTTCAAAATTCTGGAAGCATTTTTTAAAAAATGGGGAGGAGTCTTTGCTAGTTAAAAGGTAGTCTAGCAAGGCAAGGACAGCAGCTTTTCACTTGGATGGTGTAGTTTGCAAAGACTGGATACCTCACATTCAGAGGACTACCAGCACTTTCTCCTTCAGCATCTGGAGACATCTTCCTTACTACTTTCGACCGTGTGAAATTGGGAGAAGTTACATCAAGAATTCTTCCAATAAGCAAAGTGAGGTTTTGCGTGCATTCAGACGTGTTTCTGAATGCAATGACTGTTGATAGTCCAGCAGCCTGTGAAGCAAAGGTAGGTTTGCAGGTATTGTCCCAAAGCTGTGGATGGAAGATAGCTGGTGATTTTAGTAGTGATGGGCTACAGATGGTTGGCAGGATCCAAATAGAAGGTTGCAAATTCCAGAATAAACTTCTTGACTTAACGTGAATCAATTGTATGTCCTGTTCTGTAGAAATGTGCCAACTCTAAATGAAAAGAGATCTATACAAATCAGGGAAATGCTTAAAAGCACGAATGAAAAGATGACCACTATAACCCTAAATAATAATTTGCAGACCAAGACAAAAATTAAAAATAAGCTACTGGTGGGACTTTGCTTCAGGTATAGTTTAGGAACCAACCATACAGATGGAAACGTTCTGCAAGACAGCCAAGTCCATTGTGGAGAAGATTCTCTTCTGTTGATCGAATATGGACAGCCTCTTCTTTAGGTCAAACTCTAGCCAGATCCAATCCAGATCCTTCATAATCTGGCCAAGCTCCGTGGTCATTGCCACGCTTTGCTACAATTTGAACTAGTCAGTTCCTGTTAACCTGTTGGCCAACTGTCGGGCTACATCCAAAAGAAAGGAAGATTGACTATTAGGGCAAATTTCTAATTTCTACAGTAAAAGGAACTCAGTATATTGAAACTCTTGGTTCCCTGGTCAACTTCAGTAACTTTAAGATGGGTGGACTTCAACTCCCAGAATTCTCCAGTTAGGAGAATTCTGGGAGTTGAAGTCCACCCATCTTAAAGTTGCTGAAGTTGACCAGGGAACCAAGAGTTTCAATATACCGAGTTCCAGTTAGGAGAATTCTGGGAGTTGAAGTCCACCCATCTTAAAGTTGCTGAGGTTGAGAAATACTGCCCTGGCCTTTGTTGAACCAGGAGGTTCTTGTTGATGGGAAGCTCTTCCCATCCAAACAAAAAGCAAAGTGGCAACCAAATTTGTCTCCGGTTCCAAACAAAAGGTCTCTTAGACATCATTGTGGGTTTCTCTTAACCTTTCATTTTTACTTCCTTTTAGTTTCATATTGAGGAACCAAATTTGTTTTTCAATGCCAAACCTCACTGTTTAAAACAGAAATGCCCGCTCATATCCTTCATTTTATTTTTGCCTCGCCGTTTGCAGAGAAGACCCCGCAGAAAAATTGCAAGGGATTCAGCACCAGAGAGACCATCGGTCAGGCCTCTGCTTTTAAGGGCGTTCTCAGAAACATCTAATATGTCGTAACAGGTATTTCCCTCCTCCCAAAAGCTCCTCTGGAAGGCATGAAAATAACCAAGTGATTCCTGGAATCAGTTGAATATATATCTGGATATGATTCTTTAATCTCAGCTGTCGTGATACTATCTTAGCCCAGCAGAACACAAGTGCGTCGCCTGCCGTAATTTTATAATAAAAATTAAAATTGGAAGGCCTCGTTTTGATGCGAGCTTCTATGGCACATTTGAGAGCATCAAAATATGTGTTAAGTTTTTGCAGCCCCTGGGTTGCACATAAAAAGGGTCTATTGGCTTAGGAAGGATGGACGTGTTCTGCTACTGGCTCAGAAGTTCAAGGGACGTGATTGTCCACTTTGTGCTGTAGGTTCCCCGCTTTTATAATGTTTATCTTCTGCACCAGATCCTCAACCCTCCCTCTCCTCTAGTCTTGTAGATGCCAGTTGTCCACGCTCACATGGTATTTCCAAAGTTTTGTCATCTCTAATCAAAATTAATCAAGGTGATCAAGGTAATTAATCAGGGTAATCAAGATGCAACACAGATGATTAGGGGACCGAAGGCTATAACATATGAAGAACGGTTGCAGGAATTGGGTATGTCTAATTTAATGAAAAGAAGGACTAGGGTGACATGATAGAGGTCTTCCAATATTTGAGGGGCTGCCACAAAGAAGAGGGAGTCAAGCTATTCTCCAAAGCACCTGAAGGCAGGAGAAGAAGCAACGGATGGAAGAAAATCAAGGAGAGAAGCAACCTAGAACTAAGGAGAAATTTCCTGACAGAACAATTAGTGGAACAACTTGCCTCCAGAAGTTCTAGGTGCGCCAACACTGGAGGTTTTTAAGAAGAGATGGGACAACCATTTACATTAATTTGGAACAAAATCTAGATTAAGGTGATGCATGTGGAATGAAAAATGGATGTAATCCTTTTTCATTTTGTTTCTATATAAGCTACCAGCAGGCCATCAAACCAACTTAGATTTAGCTCCTTTTAAGGTAAGCGAACCCCCGAGAGGACTCAAGACGGTCAAGTTGATCATGTCCTAGGAGGGCAAGCCTAGAATCTATTTAATCATAGCTACTATTGAAATGCTCCCTTTTAGCTTGACTGACAGGTTGACAGGTTGCCCTTAACATGGACGCAAATCATACCACTGCATTGTTTTGTTAAAATGCACAGAGTGTCTTTGACTTTGGGAAGGTTGATTCCATCGAGATTTCATTATTTCTTCTTCCCTCAAATTTACAACTTCTCTGAATTTGGGGTCTTCTGTTTTTATAGTATAACTTAGTAGAGTTCATAGCTGATTAGTTCATCAAAACTCTGAACTGCCTTACCAGCAGTTAAAAATCTCAGCGCTCATTCGATAATAACCCAAAGATTAATTGCATATTTCTTTCACTGAAAATACATTTTTGGCATTCTTTTTCCCTTTCTCTGGAAATTACAATGTTCTTTTCCTCCTGAAGTATTATAAATCTAATATGTGTTGGCGTGCAGCCCAAATACCTGATCATTTTGTGTGTCTTTGCAAACCACGGTAACAGCAGCAGTAGCAGCAATGTGGCTAAATGACTCTCTTTCCCTCTCTCCTGTGTTTGTGTGTGTGTGGTGTGTGTGTGTCTGTCTGTCTGCCTGTCTGATTTTAAACAGCCCGACCCTTCGGAGTTGCCGATGCTGGTTTCATACAAGCAGCTAGAGAACAGCCATTCTGCAGAAGTGAAACCCAGAGAGGCCCTCACACATCTGGCTGAACGCCATCTCAGGATTCTTCAAATGCAACAATTATAATTCTGCTGTTTGGGAAAAAAAAAAGGGACATTGGTTTGTTTTGCCTTTTTAAAACTGGGTGCAAAATCCGGAAGACTTGTGGTTGATCTCTCCCACTACCCTCTTAATGCCAGCCCTGAGGACCCCAACTGGCCATTTTGATTGTGAAAATCAAGAGAGATTTGGGACCTTTGAAACAAAGGACACAGCTTCTGTTTTGCAGTGGGTTATCAGCGAGGAAAAAAAATGACAATTTTCTAGCTTTGGGCTTTCCCTTCTGAACCAGTAAAAGAGCACAGATTTTAATTCTCACTTTGCAAGCGTAAAGTTGGACTATGTCTCTTCGCATTGTCTAGCCTGCTTCCTTGCACTCACGGTGTTTCCATTCTTCTACCAACAAATTGGGTCATGAAATATATCTTTTTTCCCCCCTCCTCTTCCTAACCAAACTGGTTTTATTAAGGAAAAGTGGAGAGACATGTTCGCTGCTAATTCACTTTTTCTGCAAGCACCCACGAGGATGTAATAAAAGCCACTTTTTTAATAAAAAAAACACACACAATGGGAAAACTCCCGAAAGCTAATGAGATGCACCAAAATCTCACCTCTGCAATCCTTTTGTTCCCTCTGGCTTGAGGCTTTCACACAATCCAAATCAAGGTCCGTTTATTTTCAGAAGAGCATGCTGGTTAAAGTGCCTGGGCTTCAACCCTCTCTTTTTTTTTTTTCCACTGGACTATCCTGGTCTTGTGGAACACTGGAAGAACTTTGGATGTTAGAACATCATGAGTACAAGACTTGGCCAGTGGTAGATTGGGCTTGTCATCTTTTGCCGTGCAAATTCTGTCCCCTTCTAAAACTTGTGGGAGGTCTGAGAGGAGATAAGGTCTACGTCTCTGTTGGGCTGTATTAGTTGGCTACCACCAACCCAAAACTTTTTTTGTTGTGTACAAAAGGGAAGAACGAATACTTAAGCAATACATTCTGGATGTGTTAGCACGTTGCTTTACAAAACATCTGGGATCTTCACATCAATGTTTTGTCACCGATTAGTATGGAAACAGAGGTCAAGTTGCTAGAGGCACCCTACTTTTCTAAGACTTTGCTCAGAAGAAGAAAAGAAGCAGGTGACTATCTGGTCACCCACTCGAGACAATATGGATTATCAAAGGAGTTGTGTTAGACCCAAACAGCCCTGGTTTTGTTTGGGCCTTCCTGGATTCATCTACCATTGGCCAAGGATCCATCCACCTTAATCTTTGGATTAGAGTGTTCATCTGTTCCCTACAGCCCAATTTGGGCTATTTAATCACGACCATCTGGTCCACTTTTTCTCCAAGGCATGCCACATCTTCACAACCGATCTACACATCCTTTGAAGGTGTCCTGTAAAATCTTTTGAGGCACCTAAGAAAAAGCAAACACAAGGCCTATTTGCATGAGTAGAGCAGCAAAGCATGTATTCACAGGCAAATTGACAGAGTCCTTTGCAGCATGAAAAAAAAACCTCTCCTTCTGACACCAACGGTGGCATCAGTGAAATTTCCCACAAAGTGTTCGTGGCAACGCGAGCCGTGATGGAGGAAGATCTAAGTTGGATTTCGAAAGAGTCAAAGTTTGGATGTGTAGAGCCAGTTCTTCCCCAGCAAACCAAGGCTGAAGATATTCAGAGTGTGTTGGTAGTAGGACATGGACAGAAAAAAGGTTTGTATAGCCCTGAAGAACAAGGGATGTGATAAATTACTATGAGTGCCCTTAACGCACATAATTATTGCTGAGATGGAGACAAAATGAACTGTTTCTGTTGCCCTTTAGAAACAAAACACACACACCCCACCATCATCCAAGAGCAATTTCATTTTCAGTGTGTTGACAAATAAGCTGCATTTTTTTCAACCTTGCAAAAGGCTAACAAGCTAAGAACACCCTTTTGTCCTCCCCTCCCCAAAGGAACAATGGAGACCTGAACCCAAGTCCAAATAGAACTTTAAAAAAAAGGAAAATGAAAAAGCCTGCAGGATATCAACTAACCACATTTTTTTTCCAACTTAAAAAAAAACTACTTGTTTGGTCTTGATGTTTACATTGATTTCCTGATGCTTGTAACCAAAAACCACTCCTGTATCCATGTTTAATTGGGGAACGGGGGAAGGGTATATTTCTTTTTTTAAAAAAAAATAACAACAAAAATACTAGGGAGTTTGAGAATTAGCCTATCGTTCAAACAAAGCCAGGAGAATGCTCATTCGGTTTCCATTTTGGTTGTCTTCCTATCCCAAAAAAGAGCTAGGTTAAAAATAGGGGGGGAGGGACATTTTCCCCAGTTTTGCTGCATGACAAAAATGCAATTATATAGTTTTAAAACCACAAGCTCTGGATGAAAACCTGCCCATCCCTTTGGGGGATACTTGACATTTTTTACGTTATTCTGATCCATCTGGAATTTTGCTGTTTGCCACTAGAGAAACATCACAGCAAAAATAATCATTATTCCCCCCCACTTTTTTTTTTTTTTTTTAAAGGATAGGTTTTAATCAAAGCTTGTGATTCATTCTAGATAACAAATCATGGTAAACAGAGGATGTTCCGTTCTGACTTGGCACAATCAGGGACAATTCTGTCTCCTCCAATTTGGATGGCACTCACTTTTCTGCCCAAGTTAGATAATGAAATCTGCTTTGGGTGTGCTCCTCTCTGCCAGTTTGTTAGTTAACTGAAGACTGTCTATCTCAGTGAGCTAAAATAATTAGAAATTCAGCCGTATAGGCTCAGAGACTAGTGGTCAGTTTGAGAGTACTCAGCTGACCAAACCAGCAATGGATCTTTGCAAATTAGAAAGCAGAAGGAAAATATATGTAAATATACCACACACATATATATATACACACACGTGTGTGTGTGTGTATATATATATATAAGAAAGAGGATGTGTAAATATGGGGAACAGTCAGAGCTGGGGTGTAAACATTCTGTAAAGATTTTAAGGTGCATTTTTCAGCTTGCAAAAAAAAAAAAAAAACACAACCCAGGACTATGTTAATCACTTCAACTGTGATTTTATATATTCATGTTGCTTTATACAATAATCGTGGAATGTTAAATTTTATGAATGCAATCGGCTCTTTTTTCATTACAATTTTTTTGACTTTTCTTTTGAAATGATCAATAAACTTTGGTATGTTCTGATGATGAGTTTTAACTACATCTGTCACCCAAGATGACCTCGGTTTCAAGGGGGGGCGTTGGGGTGTTGCGGGTAAACTTCTTGTACACAAGCCACGGCGGTCCTGTTTTTATGGTAAGTGTGAAGTCATAACGTGTGAAGTCGCAAGTATGAAGTCATCCAGATATGAAAATATTTACCTGCCCGTTTTACGGGCAGTCAACATCACTTCAAATTAAGGACACGTGACAGAAATGTTAATGGAGAAAGCAAGTCAGTTTGCCAATCTCTTAAAATTTACTGGCTTTCGAGGGATATCCAGAGTTTGCTGGATACCCAGCAATAACAATAACAGGAGGAGGAGGAGAAAAAGGAGGAAGTTGGAAGGGACCTTGGAGGTCTTCTAGTCCAACCCCCTGCTCGGGCAGGAAACCTAGTATACTGTATACTATTTCAGACAAATAATTTCAGTCCTTTTCATATTCCATTCCGGCACGTAAAGAGGGGGCACGTATTTTGTAACATTTGTTGTGAGCTGAGAAGCTGGAAAAGATTTTCGAGCGGTGTTTTTCAACCTTGGTACCTGTGGACTTCAATTCCCAGAATTCCCCAGCCAGCAGGCTGGGAGTCGAAGTCCTTCTCTTTTGAAGGGGCTGAGATGCTTAGAGGAGCCTGGGCTGTTCGGGTTGCCGCTGTTACCCCGAAAACCAGCCTCACCGAGCCGGCCTCTCCTCCGCCTAAGGCTTTGCCAACCGGGAGAACGGGATTCCAGCAGCTGCCAGATGTGCTGGGACTACAGTTCCCAGAATTCCCCACGGCCAGCCAGCTTAGCACGGCGACAGCTGCCCGGGCCGGCTCTCTCCGGAGAGCGCCCGGTTGGAGAAGGGCTGATCCACCCAGTCCAACCAGTCCGACTCCTTGTAAGGCGATTTCCTGGTTCCTCGGTTGCAAATCGCCGGGCGCGGAGCGGCGGAGGGGATGAGACCCCGCTGCCAAGCCCACCCTCCACCCGCCCAGGGAGGGAGGCCAGTTCCGACGTGATGCGGGACGCGCGAGGAGCAGGGACCCTCCTTTGGGGGGGTCGGCTCCGGACCAGCCCCTCGCGGGCTCCCTTCGGCTCCCCTCCTGGCCCTGGGGACCAGGGAGCCAGCCCCGCGTCCCCGGCCTCCCGTCTGAAGCGCGGAGAGGCGGGCAGGCGCCGCTGTCCCTCCGGCTGGGCGCCCGGCCGCTGCAAGCAGAGGGGCCACCGAGGCCGGACCACCTGCCCTGCCCAGCCAGACGCCCCCGGGCCGGCGGAGGAGGCGGAGTAGCCCGGCCCAACCCGGCCCAGCCCAGCCCAGCCCAGCCCGGCCAGGCGCGCCGCTGCAGCCGCCCGCAGGAGCCCGCGGCGGGCCATGGCTCTGCCCTCCCGGCCGCCCAGCCGCACCTCCGAGGCCGAGATGGCCCTTTACTACCGGCTGCTGCGGAGCGCCGCCCGCGCCGAAGCTTTGGCCGGAGCCGGTAAGCCGTCCGGGGGGAGCGCATCCTTTCTCTTCCGACCCCCACCCCCGCGCGCGCGCCCCGGCTCGGCGGCGCTCCGGCCGCGGCGGAGTCGCTGCGCTGCAGAAAGAGGGCTGGAGTGGAGAGGTGGTGGGGGGTTGCTGGGGGTGTCCTTCCTCGTTTCCCACCCCCCCTTCCTTATTTCTCCTGCCCCGGCATCCCGTGTCTCAAGAGGTTTTGGGATGCTGCCAGGAGAGAGAGAGGGGGGGAGAGGGGGAGGGAAAGAGCAGGGGAGAGAGAGAGAGAGAGAGAGAGAGAGAGAGAGAAGGAGGGAGGGAGGGAGGGAGGGAGAGGGAGAGAGGGAGGAAGGGAGAGAGAGAGAGAGAGAGAGAGAGAGAGAGAGAGAGAGAGAGAGAGAGAGAGAGAGAGGAACTTTGGGGTTGCCAACTGACCAGGAAGAGGTGCCCCCCTGGGACCCTCGCTGCTCGCTGCCGGGAGTCCAAGGGGTGCTTTCTTCCCTTTGAAGCTTGCCTACCTAGGAAAAGCAGAGGAGCCCGAAGGAGAAGGGCTGGCAGGGAAGCTGGCAAGGACCGTCCTACAGCAATGGGGGGGTTTGGTGAAAGGGAACGGAAACGTGGGGGTCCCGGGTCTGGTGCTGTTCATGGGAATGCAGGCAGGTTTGCTTGTCGCCTGGGGTCAGGGTTGCGTTGAAACCAGGATGCCCGGAAGAGGGTCTTTTTCCTGCAAGGGAACTCTGAAGCTTGGTGCATTTTGTGCTTTGGAAATCGGAATGCCAACGGGGCCTGACTGGCCGTTCTTCTGAGTGGTAGGACAGAGACCCCTGGGCTCAGTCCCCCCTCCTCCCCCCCAGAGATCAGCAAACAGCCAGTTTTGGCCCAGAGGGGGCTTGCTGCTAACCCTCCAATCAGATTCCAGCTTTTCCTTAAGACCAGGTGCTCCCTTCGCCCTGGTGATGGACTGGGGAGGGGGCTCCCTTCTCTTTCCTTCAGCCCTCCTGATGGGGAGACGATCCCCTCCCTGTTTTTGCTGTTATTCCTCTTCTTTATTCTTCGCCTTTTGGCTGTAATTCATCCCTGCATCTTCGGCATTCTCATCCAGTTAGATTTGCAGTGAGAAATAAAACCTAGTTGGTCCTAGGCGAGGGAATAAACAAAATATTCCTCTCTGTTTCCTAAAGGTAATTAATCAATCTGGGCATCCTGAGCCAGGAAAGTGGGCTGAGCCTTCTCTGCATTGGCCAGCGGTCTTTCGAAGCCCTGCCAAGCTTGCCTGGGAACGCAGGCAGAAAAGGAAACCCGTGAAATGTGTGGTTGTCAATGGGCATTGTAGTAGGTTTTTGGTTGCAAAACACACTTCTCGGTGTAGGCAGACGAGAGCAAGAAATAGCCTGGCTGGGTCAGAACAATTCTCCTTGCCTTTCTAGCTTTCTTCTTGCAGGGATTGGAAAGTGCAAGTTTTCTCTAGGAACGGAGCATAAAATTCAGCGCTGAACAGAATTAAGTCCTGTCTTAGCCAGAGAGATAAATGAAGAGCGGAAAAGCCTGAATACAGGCAGTTCTCGGCTTACGAGCACAACTGAGCTTTTTGTTGCTAAGCAAGATGGTTGCTAAGTGAGTTTTGCCCCATTTTACGACCTTTCTTGCCCAGTTGTTAAGTTAGTAACACAGTGATTAAGTGAAACCGGCTTCCCCATTGACTTTGCTTGTGCAGAAGGTCGCAAAAGGGGATTGTGTGACCCCAGGATGCTGCGACCGTCATAAATATGAGTCAGTTGCCAAGCGTTTGAATTTTGATCGTTTGAGGATGCTGCCACAGCCATAAGTATGGAAAACAGTCATATGTCACTTTTTTCAGTGCCATTGTAACTTTGTAACTAAACAAACTGTTTTTATATATATATGTATATATTATTAAGTTTTTTACAGTAACAATCTTTGGTGCTTAGTAAACAACATATTGACTAGGTTCACATTTAAGGTCTTCTTATTGAATCGATAGAGATCCTTATTTTCGAGCTCTTATTTAAATTTAGTTTCCCATCAGTATTCAAAATATTCTCGTCAGTTGTAACTAAACAAGCTGTTGTGAGACGAGGATTACCTGCACTGCATAAGGAATATTGGACCAGAATCATTGCTTTCGTTCTTAACCAAGTATTTTCTGGGCTTAGAAATATTTCATAAAACGTGTTTGCAAGCGGGGAAATCTGATTTTCTCACTGTTCTTTTTCTCCCTTTCGTATTTTTCAAGCACTTTCTGAATCCTGGTGCTCTTGTGCTCGTAATTGTCTTTCTGGATCTGCAGTCCGGTTTGGCCGAACGGCTAGAGCTTCCATGTACAGGGACTGTCTATACAGGCAGCAAAGGGTTCCAGGGTCTTCAGCCCCCATTTCTTCCATTTTCTCCTGTGAAGTAAGGAACACCCTGACCTGGTTGATAGCAGAGATGCCTTAGTGCAGATTTATTCTTTAGCTGTGGTTTTAATCTTTAACCTACAAGGGTGTGTTAAAAGGGTGGACGTATTTACTGTTCTAGGCTAATTAGTGTGTTTAATCAACTTGATGCTGATTTTTAGAAACCTTGGACCCAGTCTCTGAATCCTAGAGGGGGAATCCCCAGTTTTGAGGGGAACCCCAAGATCTGCAGAAGCACAAAAAATATTGAGGTGTACAAATATAAGGGAAGCATCCAAAATGAGGACAGGGGTTTGTCTTTTGGAGCAGAATAGAGATTTAGTTCTGGGCAGGTGGTGAAGGAGCAGAAAATTCAAATTAGAACAGGTGCTAGCTGGAATACGAAACAGCAGCAGCTCACGCTGCAGAAGTTATGAGATTTACACCCAGATGTTTTGTTGATTTTAATTCTCGGTTTCCAAAGTAGCGTAACCCGCAGCGTTTTCCCAACAACATGGCAAGCATCCAGCAATTTCTTCTTTGACCACAGGGTGGTTGAAAGTTCCTCTTTTCACACACACACACACACACACACACCCCCCACAAAGAAGAGTTCCTTTTTGCAACTAATGAAAATCCAGTTTGACTTGAAGTAATTAAAACTCTTCCTCCTTAATTTGGAAACCCATTAGAGGATTAGAGTAACAGGGAGGGGGAGCGGGAGGAGGGGGAAAAAATAATTACAAATCCTATTTGGCAGCCCAAGGCTGCTAATTTAAGAATCCCAGTGATGGATTTTCCTTGAGATTAGTTTCGTTGGTTTTTTTTTTTTTTTTTTGAAAGGAGAGCCCTGAAGATTAATGAATTATCCTGCAATTCTGTGTATTTTTCAGGCCAGGCAGGTGTCTCTAGGATTGCAAATTAATGGGTATACATTATTGCCTTCCCTTTCATAGGAGCGTCTACTAAACCCTCTTGGGCTCTCCGGATAATGGTGTAGTCCTCGTTTTATTTCAGTGCATTATTTTATTAATTTATCAAAGCATAAAATGCAAAAATATGAAGAAAAACGAAAATAAAGGTAAAATGCGGGAGGAAAAGGGGAAGAGAGAAAAGTGTAGGGTAGATGGGAAAAGGAAAAACAATTGACTTCCGACTTTGGACAAATTCCATTTATAAACTGCCGCCATTCAACCGTGTCTTTGGGGAAGCAGCCCATCAAAACAGAAGAATCATTGATCAATTCGTGAATGGGATCTTGACTTGGAAAATTTCGTGGTGTACAGACCACAGCTTGTTCCCTATTTTCCAGGGTGTTTTTTTTTAAAGGCTATAATATTGCTTTTGTCTACAATATTTCAAACTGTATTGTCTTCCATCAGCCTTGCGTAGAAAAGCTTGCCCTTTGATTTGTTTTCCATTTAGGCCGGAGAGCCTGGATATGGGAAATTGTTCCATGCGTCAATAAAAAGAGCTTTTGTATTTGGAAATGGTGACTGTGTGTTCTCTTGGAAATCATTTTTGCCCAATATTATAAATATTGCTTGACCTCCCTAAGTAATAAAAGCAGTTCACGGGCATTTTAATTGAAAAATTACAAGTCAAAATGTAACTTTCTGATGAGAGTCCTTGCAAGTTAATGGATTGTGCTGGCTGTCACAGGTCTCTGGTGCCGATTGGCTGGATTGAGGTGACATCATGGAACATTCAGGTTTTTTAGGAAGATTTGTGGGGGGAGAGGAAACTGGGGTGAATCGAGTGAATGGAGAAATGTTTTGGGGGCTGGAGAAGAGCTGAGCAAAGCACATTGATGGTGGGCACTGAGCAGGCAAGCGACTGAATTCAAATTTAAATGCAGATTTATTTAGTTATGGTGAACCACCAGCAAAATGTATCAAAAAGCTCAGCACTGATGGCTCCATACAAGACAGACAATATAACAGGTATATAAAACCTAAAAAGAAAAGTAAACCTACAAACTGGAGGAACAGAAGGCTTGAGTAAAACACAATAACAGAGTACAAAACACCATGTAAAATAGAGATGTGGTAAAATAGGAATGCAGCAAGATAAAGAAAAAGGGATAGGGAAGGGAAGGGGAAGAAGGAGACTGGAAGAAGTAAGAGTAGAGATGGACAATCTCTAGGAAGCCAAGATCTGCCCATAACGTTTGGTGGAGCTGAAGACCATCTCACAAGTGGGCAAAAGTGACTTCTTAAATGTGGGTTGGGATTTTAGGCTTTAAATTCCATATTTTTGCTTCTCCCTCCTCCAAATAGCAGGAAGTTTTCAAGGGCGGGCCTGTTAGGGGTTCTCCCTCACAACCCTTCATTAAAGACACCAAGATGATCATAGGAGGAACATGGGAGATGTTCCACCATACAGAAGGAGACAGGATGGAGGAGGAGGAGGAAAAAGGATGAGAAGGCTAAACTGCATCCAGCGGATAAAGAAATTAGGAACAAGCTACTGCTTTGCAACAAGCATGAGGAACAAGATCCCAAAATTGCCAAAAGGGAAACTCAAGGACCCTGAAGCCATGAGGGTGAGCTGCCCAGCCAGTTTGTTCTCACACACGTTGCATTTTTGTGTTTGCTAGAATCAGCTGCCCCATCACGGGCCAAGGACCTTGCGGAGGACCTGAGGAAAGGAATTGCATTTCTTTCTGGTGAGTGGAATCGGTTTTATTCTTCCTGCCCGTTAGAAAGTCTCTTTTGAGAGGGGTGGGCTGACTGTAAGAGCAGGTAGACTTTGTCTTCCAAGAGTCGATGCAGCTTGAGAAATGGGAAGAAGAAGGTCCATCAGATGACTTGGCCTTAGCTTGTTCTCCAGAGGCTGAAGGTTGAAGGTGAAGCCCTCTGCCGACTCCCTTCTTATGGGTCTCAATCATCTGGGGGTCAGAGCTGTCTTCCATTGCATAGAAGAGAGGAGGAGGAGGAGGAGGAGGAGGAGGAGGAGGAGGAGGAGGAAGAAAACAGGCATCTCTTTTTCTGCCTTGTTCTCCAGATGTTGAGTCTTAATGTACAAAAAAATAGGTGGTGACTTTGAGCTGATTATTGTAGGCTGCCTACATCAGGAAAAGCTCTTGAAGGCATGAATTCTTTGCTGAGGTCTCTCCTTTAAGGAAGTGTGGGAAGGAAGGAAGGAAGGAAGGAAGGAAGGAAGGAAGGAAGGAGATTGAAAGGAGGGAGAAAACTAGAGAATGTGGTTTAGTGAGTGGCTTTGATTCCTTTTTTCATTTTTCTTGTCTAGGCGGGAGAGGAAAAGGCAAGGAGTGGATTGTCACATTTCCTGAAAATCCCACTTTCAGCCAAGTGCCTGAGGAGGTCATAACAAAAGTTTTAACCTACCTCTCATGGATCCCAAGGTACAACTCTTAATTTAGTGCCGTGTTTCTCAACCTTGGCATGGACCTTATCGCCTGGAATTCCCCAGCCAGCATGGCCATTGATGAGAATTCTGGGAGTGGAAGTTCAAGACCCTGGAAATTGCCACGGTTGGGAACCTCTGCTTTAGAATCCCATTGCAAAGTTTTCCTCCCATAAGCCATTTTAAAAAAAAGATCCATTCTGGTTTTGCATTACAATGTAGATTTGACCCCTGCAATATTCTTTCTGTGCTATCAACTTTTTTTCCCTTTACTTTCTAGCCAACGCAGACCAGAAAGCAAATTTATTCTCATCCTGGACAGAAGGTTAGATACCTGGATATCGATCAAAATGGCTCTCCAAAGAATAGCAGTAAGTTCTTGTGGGCTTTTGCCAAGCTTCGAGGGGTAGAGTCAAGCTGTAGGAGCTGGGTTGCTTTCTTGACCCAACTAGAGAGTTGAAATCCACAGGTCTTAAAGTTGCTGAAGTTGAGAAACACTGTTCCGGGCCAATCTTATTCGAACCAGTGGTTACTTTTCAAGATTCAGATGAAAAAAATAGGTCTCCTGTTACTTCGTGTATTGCCACATTTTAAATTGGAAGCCTACAGAATGAATCCGAATTCTGTAGTTCTTACTCTCGGGTTGAGTTAGAAAGTCCTTCGGGACCAAAACTGAGTAGAGTAACTCATATGTATCTTTTAAACCAAGAGTTTAGTCCAGAAGCAGGATTACTGCTCCAAAACAAAGGAGAAATTGGTTGAGACTTTTGTTGTCCTAAATGATGGCAAAGCACTAGAAATTATCAAACCCAGTTCATGATGGATGTCATTTCACTTCTGGGCTTAATTCAAGAGGATTGCTGTGGCTGACTCTCCCTTCTCTCCTTGTTGTTGTTGTTAATTGCGAAGTCGTGTCCGACCCATCGCGACCCCATGGACAACGTTCCTCCAGGTCTTCCTGTCCTCTACCATCTTCTGGAGTCCATTTAAGTTCACGCCTCCTGCTTCAGTGACTCCATCCAGCCACCTATTCTCTGTCGTCCCCTTCTTCTATTGCCCTCAATCTTAATCTGTTTTTCCATCCTTCTTCTTCTTTTTCTTCTCCTTCTCCTCCTCCTCCTCTTCCCCCTGCCTCTCCTCCCCCATTCCCTCTCCCCTCTCCCCTCTTCTTCTAAAGTTGCCAGATGATCTCTCATGCATTTCTGTCCTGTGCCTAGTAGCCCCCATGCCTAGTAGCCCCCAGCCACCAATGGTACGTGTTTTGTACCCAGCTTTCTGGTCTAAAAATACACTAAGAAAAGGATATTTTTTTCCCCCATTCTGGAAAAGAGACTTCTAGAACTAGCATAATGCTCTGAATATGATAGCTTCTTCCAAAGAGAAAAGGAACTTCTGCATTCCACCTTAAAAATGCACAGCTGTATTTGGCCACCGAGTGTCTCTCTTTCGCTCCCTCTCTGGGTTTTTTTTTTCTCTCTCTCTCTCTCTCCTTTTCTGCCCTCTCTTTTACCGGTAGCTGGGCCAACCGCCATCCCTTTCTTTTTCACCAGCCTCAGGTATCAGATTATCCGATGGGCAGTTTTGAAGGAAAGGGCATCTGATTACGGGCATAGGTCTCCCCAGGTGAAATCCTGGGAAACTCAAGGCTTGCTGGTGCAGAAGCCCAGGGAGAAAGCCTGCTTGATGCTGGAGTCTCCCCTTTTGACAATGCCGCATTGACACTAGGGCAGGAGAGGTCCACGGCGGCCTCCCTCTCGTGTGGGTTGCTGTGGGGGAGATGGCCGAGGCAGGTGCGCCAAGAAGCAAGATGTGGTGCCGAAGAAATGCGGTAAGAGCCTGCAGGCTTTGTCCTTTTTGTTCCTTTGGAAAGCCGGTTGGAAGCTGCAGGAATCCTGGCTGGGCATCTTCTAGGTCTAGGACAAAAGGCAGAACGTGGCGCGCTGAGCGGAGGCTCCTTGCAGCTGACCTTTCTTTCCCCCCCCCTCCTTTTAATCATCCAAGGTGCTTCTCTGTGGTGGCACGGGCAGGTTGGCATCCAAGTTGAAACATGGTGTGTCGGAAATAATTGTCTGAACCTCTCTTTTTATGTTCTTCTTTTTAACCTCCTGCAAAACATGGATGAATTTGGGATTGGTGTTTATATATGCATAGAGACATAAATGAGAGAGAGAGAGAGAGAGAGAGAGAGAGAGAGAGAGAGAGAGAGAGAGAGAGGTGTCAATCCTTGAACAGTGAAGGAGATAAATGACTCAAAACTGCTTTCTCCTTTTCAAGGCCTTAGTGGGGGGGAGTCCTTAAAAAAGCAGGCCAGGCTTTTTAAGCTGCTCAAATAGGAGGTTGCATGTAATACGTTCCAATTGGCTTTATTATTAGACTTTATTGTTGTTAGGGTTGTTGTTATTCTGCAGATCCCTCCTCCCTCACAATATGTGAAGAAATGGCTTTTTCTTAAAAATAGAAAAAAAGCAAAAAAAAAGCACTGTATTCTCTTTAGCTTTCAGTCCCATCTCTATCTTGTAAAGAAAAGGAAGGGAGGGAGGGAGGGAGGGAGGGAGGAAGGGAGGAAGGAAGGAAGGAAGGAAAAGAAAGAAAGAAGGGAGGGAGGGAAGGAAAGAAAAGAAAGAAGGGAGGGAGGGAGGGAGGGAGAGAGGGAGAGAGAGAGAGAAAGAGGAAGGGAGGGAAAACAATTTTCATTTTGGAAGAGTGAGCAGGCCTTATATTGGGACTGGTTCTATTGGGTACCCTAGAAGTGGGGCAATCCCTCCCCCACACACACACTCGCATGCACCAAATACAACTTGTGGTTCTATCTCTCCCTCCCCCCCCAATTAACATCCAGACAAAGGTGAACTGGAATTAATACATCCACTTTCCAAAGACTTATGTCTGGTTAATCTTGAGAACCTTCATTCTGTGGTCCTCTGGGAGAACTGGGGGCAAAGATCCTCAGGTCTAGCTTTTGCAAACTATTTCTGAGCCTTTAGTGACAAAGGACGCCGGCCGAGTTTGCCTGGTTTTTCCCAGGCTGAAAGGCATGGAAAGAGCCAACTGGCAGCATTCCCACCGGCTTAAATTGGACATGTTATCAATTCATTTGCATCTGCTCATTATTGGGAGTGTGGTGTCTTTCGAGGGTGAGGATGGAACTGGTCATGAAACCATTATTAAGTGAGATCATGGACAATGAAAGATTGAGGGAACTAGGTATGTCTAGTCTAACAAAGAGAAGGACCAGGGGTGACATGACAGCAGTCTTCCAGGACTTGAGGGTCTGCCACAAAGAAGAGGGGGTCAAACTAGTCTCCAAAGCACCTGAAGGCAGGACAAAAAGCAACAGATGGAAACTAATCAAGGAGAGAAGCAACCTAGAACTAAGGAGAAACTTCCTGACAGTGAGAACAATTAATCAGTGGAATGACTTGCCTCCAGAAGTTCTGGATGCTCCATCACTGGAGGTTTACTAGAAGAGACTAGACAGCCATTTGTCTGAAATGGTACACCATTGTTTGTCTGGTATTAATCCCTGCTTATCTGGATATTAACTATTAGGATGTGTTTTGGACTATTTATTTCCTTCTTAGTTTTTTTTACTGTCTCTTCTGAGTGATGTGTGGTTTATCGCTATGTGTCTAGTAGAACATTCTTTCTGTAGCTCATTTAGGATTTGGCTATTATGGAGAAGAATAACATTTATTTATTTATTTGGCCTTCTTTTTAACTCCAGACTTCTTTTCCTGGGAATCTCCACCTTGTGATGGTCCTACGTCCCACTGGGTTTTTCCAGCGCACTTTTACCGACATTGGTTTCCGGTTTAGCCAAGAGGACTTCCTTCTCAAACTTCCGGTAAGATCCCTGTTGCTTTGAAATGCATTAATGCTGCAGCTTTGGAATTTAGTGATTTTTTAAAAACCTCTACAAGGTGGGAAGTTTTAGAGCTATTTCCCATTGTGCAGTTTTAATTGTAATAGGTGTAAAGGTGGAGCCTTTGGGCCATATCTTGAAGGACTCTTGCACCTCATTCAGCAGTATCAATGTGAACTGTATGAAGCTTGAGATGTCCTTGGCCAAAGATGGCTTCTCTTACACAAGAGAAAGAGAGAGGAAGCAGAAGCAGAATTTAGTTGTGATCCTGTCTCTCGGCTGGTTCTGCCACAGCTCAGGGTCCCCAGAGAATAGGAGCTAGATTTAGCTTGTGAGTTTGTAGACCTTGCCAACTCGGTAGTTTTCTTTTGAACGTTCTGCTTGATGATGCTTGCAAGCCATCAAGTCCGCTGACTCTCGTGTTTGCTTAGATGATCTGTCCTTGGGCTCTTCCAACAATACTCTCAATGCCGCCGTAACTGAGTCCATCTGCTTTGGTTCTGATTGTCCTCTTCTTCCACCATTCCCAGCATCTCCCACCGGAGAGAGCTAGATATGCACCTTGTGTGCAGAATAGGACAAATTGTGCCTTGAGTGAGAACTCTGATTTGTTCCATGATCCATTTGTTTCATTTCTTGGCTGACTGTGGTCTTCTCAGGAGTCTCCTCCAACACCAAGGCTCAAAAGCATCCATACTCTTCCTCTCCTGCTTCTTCGGTTTTCACTTCCAGGGAATAACACAACTTATGTGACTCTGATCTTTGCACCCCAAAATGTCTTTGTCTGCTCCTCTGGCTGAATCCAATCAATCCCTGAACATACCTGCAGTGTTCTATCAAATCGAGCTTCTAGACCTCTATGGAAATGGACTTCATTAGGACAAACAACTGTGATTGTCTTTTCTTCCTCCCCTCCCCCCACCTTCTCTAGGTGGTAATGCTGAGTTCTGTCAGTGACTTATTGACATACATCGATGAAAAGCAATTGACACCTGAATTCGGAGGCACCTTGGAATATTGCCATAGCGAATGGGTCATCTTCAGAACGGTACGTCTCTGATGTTAACATTTTTATGCCAACATTCTGGGTTTATGAAGTTAGCCTCTGGGGCACCATGTCTGCACCTGGATGGAATGGAAAGATGTGGCCAATCTCTGCTCATATAAGAAACAACGTAGCCCTGCCTATTTAATAAGAAATATTCCTCATTGTCCAGAAATCATTGTCCAGCAATCAAATCTTTGGGACTGGGAGGGAGATCTCAGGACTGGACCCCTTCAAGACACCAGTAGGGTGAGGTCCATCAGTATCTCAGGGGGAACCTCAGTCCAATTTTACTGAATAAATGCCTAAACCAACAATATTTGCTTGCTAGGCTATAGAAAGCTTTGCACTCACAGTGAAGGAAACCGCTCAGATGTTGCAGTCTTTTGGCATGGAGTTAGCTGAAACACAACTGCCGGATGAAACATATTCCATTGAGCACATCCTGGCTCTGCGGACAGAGAAATACTATCAGCTAAAGGTAAGTTGGAAAGAAATTGTAGCCATTTCCTTGCTGTTGCTGTCTTAATTTGCCAACCCTCTGTCATGGGTTCAGTTCATACGTCATGGTAAATCCTGGCTCACTTAAACCTAGTTTGTTGAGTAAGACAAGGGGAAACTGAGTCCCTCCTAGAATAATCTTCATGGTGGTTGATGAGTCATCTGGATCAGAAGAGCTATGCTGTCTTTTGCAGGAAGACATCACTGCAGTAACCAAAGAAGGGAAGATGTTGTTGTGTAGTTTAGAAGAGCCAAACATGGACGATCTAGATCAGCAACAAGAGAGATCCAGTGACTGGGAAACTGTCCATCGGTGGGTATCATGAGCCTGAAGCTTAGTTTTAGGTTGGGTGCCTAGAAATTCAGGTGGAGCTGCCCAAAGCAATGCAAAAGAGAATGTCAGATGAACATTGGCTGACCCAAAGAAGTCACCTTAAGAGATACAATGACACAAGCATGTGGTTAAAAGAGGCTCAAACTCTCTTAAATTCATAGATCCCGGTCAATTGCCCAGGGTAAAAATTTCACAGCCCATCTCTGCTCAGAAATCCTTTGTTCTTGTTCTCACCACTTCTTCCTGGCCTCTATCCAGTTTGTGCTTGTTTAGTTAAGGCTAAGAGTCAAACACAGCCATGCAGACCCAGGTCAGTTCCTTCAAACACCAAGTAAAAGGATATAGAGTAGTAGGTGAATTGGAAAGGGATCGGTGGCCAGTTTTGCTGGAGATATGGAAAGATATGGGTCGAAAAGAATAGAAAAGTTCCTTAGAATTAATATAAAGGGGTATACTGTGTCCCACAACCCAGTTTATGGATGTTATTTTAGCCACTTTCTATGAATCAATAGTTCTTCCCCCACTCCAGTTTTCACTTAAGAAGGCCATAAATCTCAAGGCTGTCTCGTAGCTGGCTGATATCAAGGCCAAACTAGACTTTCTGGAATGGATCCCGTACTAGATTTAGCTGTGGGTAAATCCCTACGAGCCCCCTGGATAGACGTAGAAGACATTGAGAAACACGCACAGATCCACCAAGTGACTGACTTTGTTTGCTCCCGCGAGGAAAGTTTACTCACCCAACTGCACGAGATGGAAACAGCTTTTGATGGTTTCTGGGAGAAACATCAGCTGAAGATGGAGCAGTACTTGCAACTGTGGAAGTTTGAGAAGAATTTCCAAGAGGTGAGAAGAAAGAGACGTGACTTTTGGTCTTTCTGAGATGTTTCAGAGAAGTATGGGATCGTTTCCGATGATTTCAGATAGGGAGAAATTAGTTTTCTAGCTAGATTTGATATCAGCGGAGGTACATTTTAAAAATGAATTATTTTGGCTTTGGAGGATTGCAAGAAGTCCCTTGTCTCTTCCTCCCTCCCTCCCTCCCTCCCTCTCTCCCTCTTTCTTTCTTTCTTTCTTTCTTTTTCTTTCCTTCTTTCTTTTTCTTTCTTTCTTTCTTTCCTTCCTTCTTTCCTTCCTTCCTTCCCATCTTTCTTTTCTTTCTTTCTTTCTCTTTTTTTCATCTTCACCATAAAGTACGCACCAATACTTAAACCAAGTATTTTTGAAGGAGTTTTTTTTTAAAATATATCCCATTTTCATCAGTACCTTCTGGGGCTAGAAGCACCAGATCTCACCAAAAGAAAAAAAACAGGAGGTGGATCTGATTTTTCAAGCAGCATCAGAGTCACAGGCTGCTTGTGCCTGTTTTGAATAAATGATGCCACCTTCTGTTGGTTTTGGGTTTCTTTCCTTTGAAAGAAAAGTTTCTCTCTTTTCAGCTCAGTAAAGCCCTGGAATTCTTGATGGCCCAACAGCGGGAATTGTCGGATACGGGAGAAAACATCGCTCAGGTGAAGCAAAGGCTCTCGGAGTTGGATAACTTGGACCAAAGGGTACAGGTGAGTCCCGTTGCCATGGAAAACAGACTTGTGAATGTGGACCAGCCTCTCCTTTTGGTTGACAAAGGATGCTTTTAGCTTAATATTATTTTTGATCAGGAGAACTCCTCCGAAAGATTGGAGAAGGGTATTATGGCATGCAAATGAGAGGAGATGAGACATGTGGATTTTCACGAATTTGATGGGATTCTTATTTTAAGAGGCTAAACTAATCATATGGGCCTTATTTCACTTTCGTCTGGGGGAAAAAATGATCCATTCGCTTTGGATTGCTTGACTGGAAACACATTTAGCCAGAAGGCCTGACTGATTTCAGAAACTCTGCAGGGCCCAACTTGGTTGCTACTTGAATTGGAGACCCCTGCAGAATCTCGGGGCAGTTGGCTTCCTTGGGAAGTTGAGAAAATGTCCCAGGAAAAGATAGTGACAAACAGCAATGGTCTTGTGGCCAAGGAATTAGGGGCCTAGGAGCTGAATTTGGCTCCTTTGACAGCACAATCCTGGGAAGGTCCAATAAAATAGTTTGGAGGCCACATTGCAACTTTCAGTCAAAGGCAATATAAAGATTAAAGCAATCGATGTTTAGAGGGAGAGAATGAAAGTTGCAAAGACATATGATATAAGAAGCACAATTGAGAAAGGAAGAGTTCCAAGTTATGGGAGGTGACACGGCCTCATGCTTTTGACATCTCATTCCATCCCCCTCCCCCATCCCCTTTGCCTTTAAAAGGATGTAACAAGAAAGGCCCAAATGGTGATTCTTCACGGACATCAAATGGCGGCCAACCACCATTATGCCCTCAACTTGATTTGCCAGCAGTGCAATGAATTGCGCCATCATTCGGACATTTTGCTGGAAGAAATCAAAAGTAAACACAACAGGCTCCAGCAAACATTGGACCTCCTCACTTCTCTGCAGCAGGTAATCCACGGATGTAGATGCATGAAAACCTTGCTTCAGCCACCTTTGTCTTCAGTAGGAGATGGTGGAGATGCAGATGGGATAATTGTTTGGGGCTTTCTGATTTACTCATAAACCTTCCTTATCCACCTTGCCATCTCTGTTAGGCCCTGGAATGTTGTGATGAAGGTGTGTATCTTCTAGCCAACCAGCCATTGGACAAATGCCAGTCCCGGGAAGGGGCTCAGAAAGCTCTACAAGACATCGAGAAGTTTCTTGACAGCTCTTCACTGCATTTAAACATAGATCCCCAAGCCCTGTCTTCTAATTTTCATCTCATCTTAACACCGGAACTCAAAGTATGTGTAGAGGTTCTCACACTGCTAACACAATCTGTAACTGTTGCATAAATTGTGATTGTTGCTTTATAAGATTCTTATTTTGGGGGGGATCCACAGGCTCGGATACAGATGGTCCAGATCAAGCTGGAGAACGTGCGCAGCATGTTTGAGAACCGGCAGGCTTGCTTCAGAAAACTTGCAGACAAGCAAGTCCGTCCAGTGCAGCTTGTAGCTCCCCGGCCAGAATGCACAGCCCGGTTTAAATCTCCGCTGTTTTCCCCCAGACATGGTAACCTGCATTTGAGTTCCATCATCCAGAAATACTCATGAGTGAGCCACCCTGGGGAAGTAGGAGTAGGACTGGGGAATGCATGGGGGAGAATCCATCCAGGGTGGTGGGCTGTATTGGCAAGCGCCAATGACGTCACTGCGCCATCTTTCTACCTCCATTCCCCAAACTCTCTTTGCCATGTTTCGGGAAAAAAAAATACCTTCAAGTTCTTCTTGAAGGAAGTTCTCCAGGACTTCCTTCATCCCACGTGGAAATGAAGTGAATAGGAGGAGGAATTTGGAATCCTATCTGTCCCATTCTTGAATTCAGTGCCTTCTGTAGTATCTCCACCAACCAGCTTCTCCTCCCCTCTCCCCTCCCCCTGTCCCTCTCCTAATCCTGACCTAATTGGTGCCTCTTTTTTATTCCTGCAACAGCACACTTTGAAGATCAGACATCTTCTCTTCATATCTGTTTACACTCTTCTGCATCTGTTTTTCTCCCTACCTCTTTTGCCCATTGCTACATCCCAGGTGCTTCTTCTATATACCTGATATTTCAACCTTTAAATAGCAGCAGATTAGATGCTGATCACATTTGCATACAGTACTGCTCCTTTTGTTCCACCGAAGTTTTTTTTTTTTAAATTTCATAGATATTAAATCTAGACAAAAACAATGGGGTGGAATGGTGGAGCCTCTTGTGGCATGGCTTCTTACCTCTGTTCAGGTGTTGAGCCCATTATGTAGAATTGGCCTCAATATTTCATCGCCTGGGTGAGCTGCCCCAGTGAATAATTTCACATTAGACTCTGCTTCTGGCCCTATCCATATGAACCATCTCCCCTTTATAAAAATTAAATTTGTTCCTGTTCACTGGATGCATGTCCTTAATTGTGCTAGCTTGGTTGGTAGCTCTCCTGAAAGATCTTTGACTATCTTCATATTGTCTAGGCAGAATGTTTTCAGATCTTCAGAGTTCCTTTAAGCAGATGAGCAGCTATATAAAGTTTATTTAATTGGTCAGTCATTGCTGGCCTCTATTGCACATATCACAGGAGCAGAGACCTTAGACTCGTTGGAAAAATGGATGGAAGGGTAGATGGATAGATAGATGTTAGGATGGGTGGGTGGGTGGGTAGGTAGGTAGACAGACACAGACAGACAGACAGGCATATAGAGGAATGGAGGGATGGGGGATTAGATTGGAAAACATTAGATAGCTTGGGAAGATGGATGGATGGATGGATGGATGGATGGATGGATGGATGGATGGATGGCATGCATGGATGGATGGATGGATGGATGGATGGATGGATGGACCAGCTGACTGACTGACTGATTGAGTGACTGACTGATTGATTTCTCCTGGGGGATGGGGAGAGAGAAGGATCATACACATAAACACACATATACATGCATATATTCATTCTTTCACTCATTTCAAATTGTTTGATCTTTTTTCTGCTTTTTTTTAAATTTCATCCTTCAACTAAATCACCCTCCTTTTGGCTGACTTCCCCCCCCCCTTTTTTTAAAAACATTCCCTTGGGAGGGGGAGGAGTCGAATTTACTAAAAGAGAGCAGTTGAACAAGAAATAATATTTTTATTTCCAAGGTATGGATTTCAATTCCAGTTTGAAATTTTCCTTCGATATCTCTCTACCAGGCAAGAAAACTTCAAGGAAATCTCAAAATTCCCGCAAGGTAGGATATACATATAGCAACTAATGAAATGCCAATGGAAGCTGCCCCAAAATTTTATGCTGCCTGGAGAATTCTGGGAGTTGAAGTCCAGATATTGTAACGGTTGAGAAACGCTGCCTTAAAGACAGGATTCTAATACACTGAGAGCATAATGCCAAGGCAATCTTAAAAACGAACTCTTGATTAATTGCGTCTATTTCTATTTGACCTCTCCAGATTGAAGTCGTCCACAATTACCAAGAGAAAAGAAATTCCTTGCAGTATTACATCACGGAAAGTGAAGACAGCTTAGATATGTTGAAAAGGTGTGTTGGCTTTTCCATTTATCTCCTTCCCATCAAGTTTGTTTAATCTGAAAAGAAAGGCTAGATCATCCAAGCAAACTTTAAACAAATGCCTTGGGTCCTGTTTAGTTAAGATGTTTGAAAATTCTTGATCCATGAAAAAAAATAATAATCCACCACTATGACCCTAAGCATGAAGGCTGAAGTTTTTTACGGTTTCTACCAAAAGCTGAATTCACTTGCTCTTCTTGTTTTTCTAATAAAGGAAAATATTTGTAGCTCAGGGTTGAAATGAGGGGTCCTTGGTGCGCTCTGAGCTTGCTTCTTTTCTTGCAGACGTTTCATGACCCATCTAGGTGACATCATCAGTGCTAGAAGAAAGTGGAGTGTGTGGAGAGGAGGAGGAGGAGGAGGAGGAGGATGGGGTCCTTGGTGCTCCCTAAGCTTGGTGATTTTCTTGCAGACATTTCATGACCCAACTAGGAAACATCATCAGTGCTAGCGATGTTGATGTTATCTAATTTGGCTCATGAAACGTCTGCACGAAAACAACAAGCAGCTCAGAGAGCATCAAGACGCCATCTTCTTGTTTTGTTGTGAAATAGTTGTAGCGTCATCTGTTGATGCTTTTCAGTTGGGTTTCATTCCAGCCACGTCATACATGAACTGATACAAACTGAACGAGTGTACGTTGAGGAACTTTTCACCGTTTTGATGGTGAGTATTTATTTACTGGATTATTATTTTTTTTACACACATATGGTCGCCCAACTCCTAGGGGAACTTCTCAACTTTACTGTTCCATTAAATGTATTCTAGTGTTCCTATTCTACTTCTGTGCCCATCCTCCACTTCTTGGCCCATATTCCCAGGCAAACCAAATGCTAAGTGATTAAGTCTTTGATGCGGTTCAAAAGAGAGGCAGTACAAATATTTGCCACGCGAGTGGAACAGTCTGGACTTTGTGCCAGCTTCTGAAGAAGCCAGCTTTTCAACGTGGACTTAGTGTATTTGACACAGCCAAGGAAAATTAGATCTCTTGGAATTGTTCAGAGGCTCTTAGAAAGCTACTTTTGGATTAAAAAGAAAAAAGAAATGTTAAATGCCACGAAGCCAGATATCCCAGCACTGAAGAAGGTTGCGTGCCTAATGCTGCTTTTTGGCTCAGGATGCTCAATACTAAGGTTGCCTAATGCTCGGTTGGGTGATGCTGTTGGCAGGGCTACCGAGCTGAGATGGATAACCCCACCATGGCCTTCCTCTTACCACCCCTTTTGAGAAGCTGTAGAGATGTTCTCTTTGGAAACATGCCTGAGATCTACGACTTCCACAACAAGTAAGCTGACATCTTCTTCAAGCTTTCCTCGGCTTTCGTCATCAATTCAAGAAACTGATTTATTCCCCATCCGTCTTTTCCCTTTTGTGCAGTATCTTCCTCCATCATCTGGAGAGTTGCCTTGAAGCTCCAGAGAGAGTTGGGTGCTGCTTCTTGGAAAGGGTTTGTAAGCACCTTTTTCAAACAGATTGTGGGTCCCCTTTATACCAAGGCTGGAACTCCAGTAGATCCAGATGGGCCCAGGGACACCATTGACATTTCTGCAGTTGTCTAACTCTAAAAGCTCCCTTGCAGTCTTTGACGTAGATGTTTGTCTTTGTTTTTTTGTTCCCTTCTGCAGCGGGAGGATTTTCAGATGTATGAGAAGTACTGTCAGAATAAACCACAGTCGGAATCTCTCTGGCGACAGTATGCCGAGAGCCTCTTTTTCCAGGTATTGAGAAGTCAAATGTTTCAAATGTATTTGGGGTGGGGAAATGGACTTAGGTTGTTAGCTATGTTTCTGGATGGAGGAGTCAGAGTATCAGTTGGAGCCTGTGAAATGGGTACATTGAGACAGATTTATGGATGGTGATTGAGGTTTTTATCTCAACAGCCAATTGTTTATTTTATTTATTTTTGGGTCTGTCTGGGGGTATGTCCCTGCCAATGTTGTTAGGGACATGGAAGGATCATGGAAGAAAAGGGATCTATGTGTTGTCTACAAGTCAACAGCAATTTGATGGCACATAATCCATTGATGGATCATTGTGAGCCACCCAGATTCATTTGTTTAAGATAGAAACCATAGCAACTGAATAAATAAATAAGTGGAGACATTTCTAACCATTTAAAATTGGACTCATTGAATGCAAAGCATTGGAGCTGCTAAATGTTTCTTTAGTACCCACTCTTATTTAATCCTGACTTTTGACCACAGGCCCATCTCCTCGATTTTTGTTTTAATGTAGGCTCTTCTGCTGTGGGGGACTTTAAATTCCAGAATTGTTAGCAGGATCCCTATTAATTAAGGAATGTGGGGATCTGCCTCCACCCATTTGGTGGACATCCAGGATCAGAAAGATGGGTGTCCATGTTCCCAATGGAAAATAAGTTATGCTTCTTCTGCAGGAGTGCCAGAAGAAGCTAGAACACAAGCTCAGTCTAGATTCATACTTGCTCAAACCGGTGCAGAGATTAACCAAATACCAGCTGCTTCTCAAGGTATGGAGGCTCTTGGCTGAGATCTTTCAAAGGGTTTCTGGATCCCCATTGAACCTTCTTCCTACTTCTTGGAGGATTCTGGAATCTACTGGAAATTCCCTTGAGAAACAGCTAGGGGGATTTTTTTTTCAGGATTATGTCCTTGGAAAAAGTATTAACCATTTTTTTTTTAACTTGCAGGAGTTGCTGAAGTACAGCACAAGCTGCGAAGGTGTGCAGGAATTGCAAGAAGCTTTAGTTGCTATGTTGGATTTGGTCAAGTCAGTCAATGACTCCATGCATCAGATTTCCATCACTGGTTACGATGTAAGTTCTTCTCAGGGTAGAGGCCTTTCTAGATGCATTCAGCAGGAGAGGGATCTCCAGATAACTCCAGACTTTCCACTCAATAAATTTAAGGAGATGCAACACAAAAGGAAAAAGAAGGGGAAAGGGGAATACAAACATTGCACGTTCAATAAACTTTATATCATATGCGTGGGTGAGTGTACAAACACACACACAGAGTATAAAGCATAGAACACAAAACATAGAACATAGAATAATAGAATGGGAAGGGTCCTTAGAGGTCTTCTAGTCCAACTCCCTACTCAAGCAGGAGACCCTATACCAGAGGTAGGCAACCTTGGCTCTTTTATGACTCGTGGACTTCAATTCCCAGAATTCCTGAGCCAGCACAGCTGGCTCAGCAATTCTGGGAATTGAAGTCCACGAGTCATAAAAGAGCCAAGGTTGCCTACCCCTGGCCTATACCACTCTGTTCAGCGTCTTCTTGATAGCCTGCAATGATGGAGCACCCACAACCATATAAATACATATCGAAAAGTTTTAAAGAGAGCGTGAAAACTAACCCAAACTAATATAGAATAAAAAAAAAAACACACAGAGAGAGCAGAAAAAAGAAAAAACTAAGGAGGAAAACAAACTCAGCAAGCAGAAAGAAAGACATTTGTGATGCAAAAAAATAAATAAAAAAAATCGCATTGCCTTCTTGGGTCCGCAACTGCTCCTTTGTCTTCTTAACGCATTGTGCTCAGGGCCTGTTTTCTGCAAACAGAGGCAACCCCGGCCTTGCCAATCCATGGCCTGACGTAAACCTTTCCCCTTCCTTCCAGGGGGACCTGGGTGAGCTTGGCAAAGTCTTGATGCAGGGCTCCTTCAGCGTGTGGGTGGGCCACCGGAAGGGCCCCACGAAGATGAAGGACCTGGCTCGCTTCAAGCCAATGCAGAGGCACCTTTTCCTCTACGAGAAAGCCCTGGTCTTCTGCAAGAAAAGGGAGGAGCATTGTGACAGCTACGACAAGCGGTCATCCTACAGCTTCAAGCACTTTCTGAAGGTAAGGAAGCGCTGAGCACTCGGACGCTGGCGGTGTCCCGCGTCCCAATTTTATTTTCAGCGGCAGGGTAAGGAGCCTCAACCGCAGAGTGGCTTTTTGAAGAGTTGTGGGTTAAAAAAAGACACATATGCCATACTGTGGTCCATAACAATGGCTTTGCTCTCAAGGGCTCGGCTTTTCCTGTTTTGCCTGTCAACTAAAACCTGAAAAATCCTTTCTTGGAAAGACGACAGGAAAAAGGACTGGCAGTTTTCTGCCTGGCTGTTCTCCGCCTCTGGACACATCCGCAGCTCTCTCAGATGCCTCCAGCTGAGGGTCTGATTTGTTTCTCCAGCTGGGCCTGGAAACCTCATTTGCAGAGAGGACTTTGTGATTGGTTGAGGCTGTCCTGAGGCCATCTATCACAGCGGATGAAAGCCATGTCCAAAGCAGAGCAGAAAGAGAGAACAGACGCTTTGCCAGATGGTCCCATTTGTTGAATGCGTCCGTTCCTCCTGCCCCTGTTGTTTTGTGCACGCAGGCAGCGCAAGATGTCATTCACAAGCACGAGAGAAGCCCTGAACATGGTCGTTTGTATCTGCAGGGAACCTTGTTTATCTGGCTCGATAGGGACATTCGAGGGTGGGGAGGCAATGAGGCAGCTCTGAAAAGACGGGCTTGAGGGCCGTGTTTGCATGACGTGACTCATGTGGCCATCTTCTGCCGTGGCCAGTGACTCAGCCTGGTGCTTTGGCCGCCTGCAATCTGGAATAACTAGGCCAGGCAGTCAACTTTTCAATCTTCCCAGCTTTTCCTTGCTTAGAAAGAAGAAAGGGGGAGGAGGAAGGAGGGAGGAGGAGGAGGACGAGGAAGAGGTTACTATAAGGAAAACAAGGAAGGAGAAAATCAGTAGTAATATTTTTTAGTGTAAAAAACAATGAAAATCAAAGCTAGACCTTGATGAAAGGTCATGCAGGATGGTGATGACCAGCCAAGGTTATTCATTCAAGTTCTGCATGTGAATTTCTTCCTTCTTTTAGATGAATGCTGTTGGGATCACAGAAAACGTGAAGGGAGACCCTCGCAAGTTTGAGATCTGGTACAGCGGCCGAGAAGAGGTCTATGTGGTACAGGTAGTCTTCCTGTAACTTCTCTCACTTTGACGTTGAGGGACACGCATCTGGGATTTCTGAAACCGAAACTGAAACTATTGGAGGTGAACCAGCAATTTCTTGGCCCTCCTTAGGATGAACATCCCTCATATAAAGCTGGCATGATATGAAACTTTGCTAATTAAGTTCTATAAAGTACCATGAGTTTTCAACACAGTTTGCAAAACCGTGACCATTTCCTTGGTGTGATTTGACTTGCTGGGGGATGCACAAATTGCAGCGCTGATGAGGTTACCTAGTTTGGGCAATGCAACATCTGCAAGGAAACAGCCAAGTTTAGAGAGAGCACCAAGGGCCCCTCCCTTCAACCCCGAGCTATAAATCTTCTGTTGATAGACACATCTGTATGTGGGAAGGCCACTCCTGAGAGAGACGTTCACGTTCTTTGAACGGTTTCTGCCAGATTCTAAAGAGGAATTTTGATTTTAGATCTTACTATCTTCTATTAGGCACAAACCTTTGACTTGAAGATGGCTTGGCTAAATGAAATCCGAAAGATTTTGTTCAAGCAACAGCAGCTCATCAAAGGTAAGACATCCTAGTTTAGAAACTCTTCAAGAAATATACAAACCTGGATGATTTTGACTCCAGTGTCTGAACTGGGAGATGGGTGCCCATTTTTGGACAGCTAAATATTAAATCCATGAACAGATGTCCTTAATAATGGGAGTTTTCAATGAACCTCTTGATCCAATTTATTTCCTGGACCAGACCAATACCCAGATCTGGATATTGACAATTTCCCCATTTCTAACTGTGAGAATGTTTGGTAAACAAAAGATATGGATCTAACACGATGTTGTATCATGTTCACAGATGAGAAGCAAGTGTCACCTTTGTGTACTGACACAATTCAACTTTCTCCACCGTTGAGTGAAGGGTACGTTAGGAAGAAAAAGAAACAACCCAAGGAACTTTTGGATAATTCATATATCTTATTCATAAATCCCTGCCGTTGAATTTCCATATCATTCTGACTTTAAACAAAAATTCCAACTTGTAACGTCATTATTATCCCATTACATCCATTCCAGTGCAATGAAACTTTTATCAGACTTCAGTTTAATGGACACTGCGTGGAACAAACCAATATTCCACGCTAATTACTATTATTGGCCTAAGGAGACGATTATCTAAATGACAAACTTGCAGGGTGACTTCCTTACATAAATGATGCAAATGGCATCGTTTGTTCCATTTGCCTAATGAAGTCCTTATGCAAATGCCGTAAATTGTTCAGAATGAATTACACTCCCCGTTCAGTGAACATTTGGGATTAAAAGATGCTTCTCCCCCCCCCCTCCGATTGTCCATCAAAAAGAGATTTCAAAATATATGCATTTTTGCCTGGAAAATTTCATAAATGGGCATATTTTGTCCTCTCCCCCTCCCAATTGTTTCTTTTAATTGTTCCATTTTTCAAACTGAATCCTGGATCTCAAAGCCTGAAAAAGCCTACAGCCCAGAGCTGTGTTGTGTTGTGGTCCATTTTGACCCGGGAAACATGAATTAAGCCTGCTCTATAAAAGATGCAAAGCCAAGATTTTAACCTGGGCCTCGTTCCTTCTGATCTTCTGAATGGACTTTGTGTGCTTCCAGGAAAAAGCTGAGAGCTTCTGTAAGCTCAGAGGAGAACGATTCTGAACATACCAGCCCTGTTGCTGTGGAGAACTTAGCTTCCTCTACTTCGAGCAAACCCAGCAAACGTAGGTATCTCTGTGGAGTCTTCTTTTTCTCCTTCTTCTTTTTTATCTGATCACCTTTGGGGATTAGGGAATGGTACTTTGCTTTAAGGTGGTTGTCAACAACAGGGGGTACGATGCAAAGTTTGGGGTGGGGGTTGACATTTTTTGTAGGACTTATGAAGCTGAAGGAGAAATGGGACCTATCCCCTAGGGCAGGAGCCTGCAAACTTGACAACTTTAAGACTTCTGGACTTTAATTCCCAGAATTCTTCAGACAGCCATGCTTGGTGTGGAATTCTGGAAGCTGAAGTCCACAAGTCTTAAAGTTGCCAAGTTTGGAGAGCCCTGCTCTAGTCTAGGAGCACTGTGTTCAGCCACAAGGTATGGCTGTAGCTTCCGGTTGCAAAGATTGTCAACGTTGAAGGAGAATATTTGTATAGCATCACTCAACAAGCACAATTAACAGAAAACAGATGCCAGTAACAAAAATCTAAGAATTTTTCCAATGATCTTTCTGTCTTCCCATGGATCCAAATTCAGAACCAGTGTTTTCCCAACCCTTTTAGCACATCTAGAGGCAGAGCCAAAAAAGGCAAAAAAAAACCTTTCAGTAGCTGGACATCTTAAAATGAGGATTATTTCTTCTCTTCTCATGCAGCTTGGACAGGCATGTCCCATTCATTAGAAATCTGTGAAGGTCTTGAAGAGTGGTCCAACCACCATTACTTCTCAACCTGCTCCGACACTGAAGAAGAAGATGGCAACCAACTGGTTAGTGGGCACATGGGGTGAAATACGCATTGGGAATTGTAGGCCAACACAACTTCAAAGCAACAGGTTGAGGAAGGTTGTCCTAAACCAGAGGTAGGCAAAACAGTCTACCATGGAATGATCCCAACGTGGAGAAGTGTTGTTCTGAGGGTCACAGAGATGAGGGGCCTTCTGCACCATGGTTGGACTGGTTTGGGATCACTCAGAAGAGCTGATTTTGAAGTTAGAATGGTACATTTTAAGGTGGAGGGTTATATTTCTGGTGTAAATCACATATTTATTGTTCATGCTTTAGTCTCCAGGAAAATATAAAGCCTTAGCAGATTGTAAGAAGAGAAACTCAGATGAACTTCTGGTGAAGAACGGGGATGTCATTCAGCTCTTGCACGAAGATGGAGAGGGTCAGTGGTAGGTGATCCAGATGTCCAACTTCTGGTCTACAAAAGTAGACAAGAACCTTGCCATAAGTAAGAAGAAGAGTGAGAATGCTCTACAGCTTTACCAAGAGCTTTTTCAGGCTTGTTTCATCTTCACCATCTCCTTCCTTCCTTTATCTGAAAGGCTGGTCAAAAACCTCAACCGAAGTAAAGAAGGATGGGTGCCCACCAACAGCCTGCAGATAATCCTCGGGGACTGTAGGTTTCGCAGCACCGGAGTCACAGGTATCCCTGTGATGACAAGTGACTTGCTCATCTGAACTGTTTCAGCGTTGGCATGCGCACAAGTTCGGAGGCCTGGTCACTGCTTTGCTTGCTTGCTTAGAAGAAACCCGACTTTTGCTAAAATAAAGCAGAGGATGAGGAGGGATTAATAATCTAATATGTTCCAGGAAGTTAGTATTTAGCAATAGTATTAGGCACTCTTTTCTTCTTTTTTGTCCTCTTTGCTCTTCTCTTCCTCCTCCTCTTTCTCTCCCTTCCATCCTTCTCCTTCTTGTCTCCCTCCCTCCTTCTCCTCCCATCCTTCTCCTACTCATCTTTTTACCATCTTTGTCTCATTTCCTTTTCATCCTTCCCCTTCTTCCTTCCATCCTTCTCCCTTTCATCCTTCTCCTTCTCCTTTTCTCCTTCTCATCTCCTTTCCCTTTTCCATCTCATCTCCTTTCCATCCTTCTCCCTTCCATCCTTTCCCTTCTCAACTTCCCTCCTTCTCCTTCTCCTTCTTCTCCCTCCTAATATACTCCAAGAAATTAGCACTTAGCGGTAATACTAAACACTCTTCCTTTCTAATGTACTCTCCACTCTCCCTTCTTCCTCCTCTTTCTTCCTCTTTCTTCCTCGTCCTCCTCCTTCTCTTATGATTTTATTTGGAGGACAACAACTGAACTGATCAAGACTTGAAAAAGAAACCTACTTGAATGAGAGGACGTAATGTCTAGTCCAAGCAAGCCATACCTGTTGTCTTGCCGCTGGGTAGCAGATGTGCCTATGAGAATTGTTCCCTTTTGCCAAGTTTGGATGCATGAATGATGTTTTCGACTGTAAGTTATGAGGATTAGAAGCATGCTTGCTTGTTCAGACTGGGAATGAAGATGGTTTGCTAAGATCCTGTGCAAAGAAGCTGAATCTGCTTTGTTTATTTATTTATTTTTTTAAAAAGCGGGGAGATGTTGTGTTTTATCACCTCCATTGTTGTTATGGCCATAAATATTCCTAAAGCGAGTATCAGTTTTTGACAAGAAAAAAAATGAATGTGGTCATAAGAATAGCGGCTGATTATGGAAAGAGACCGGCTCTGTTATTCTGTGGGACTATCCAGTAACATCCACCATTAATTGCTCAAAATATTTTAAATCATTTCTATATCCTTAAGAGTATTTATTTCACTTATTCAGTTTTTCACAATGTCACAATCGTTTGCAACTCTTGACTGAGTACAAAGCCATTTATTGGCTTCCACATTAGTTAATATAAGATTCCTGTTTTTTCTTCTTCTTCATTGATATGGAGATTTGAATGTTCCCCTCCCCTTGGTTCCTGAAAATAGTATTCAAACAGCACCAATAAGATACTCACAATTCTCCCAGCTAGGGAATTCTTGCCAAGGTTGAGAAACATTGTCTTAAAAAGAGCCTGATTTTGCCAAATCTTGCCAAACCATCTTCTGTTTCCCCACCAAAAATATTTTATCCAACTACTGATGGGAACTAGACTGCTCAATGCTTTGGGTTCACATTGTCCATTCTTGGTATGGAGCACCTCAGATGGAAGACATCAAAGGAAGTGTCACTCCAGTAGGGAGAAAACTTCCTTTGAGAAAGGTTTAGTTTATAGCATGAGTTTTCCAAGCAGATGCCAAGCAAATCAAAGAGTGAACATCCAGGTTAATGGGCCATGGTCTAATCTACTCTCCTGATAACTTCTCTAGTATCATCCAAAGAGTGCCAATCAAAAATTAGCTCCTTTGAAACATCTCCAAATCAGACCAATTACAAATCCACCTGGATGAAGAACCCACCAGGAATATCCCAAAGGTGCTTTCCAAAAGTCAACTGGTCTTTCTTGAGTTTTCCCCTGAAAAGGTTTCGCTTCTCATCCAGAAGTTTCTTCAGTTGGATTAGAAACGAAATGTTTTCAAGGCAAAAACCCAGAAAGCCCAGTTGCCTTTTGAAAAGCAGATTTAGGACAACCATGACTTGGATGGTGGAGAATCTCCCAAGACATCCCATCCGAAGCTGACTTTTCACAACTGACAAGATCCAATTAGAGTAACTCATTCCAATGACAAGAGCTCAGTCAATTGATGCTTGTCGGGCCTGCGAGCTGCTAAGAAATACATCCCTTTGCCTCTGAAAATGCCAGCCTCTGTCGCTGGCAAAATGTCAGGATACCACATCATTAGACCACGGCCAATTAGCCCAGAAGCTAATCACGGTTTGATTGACACTGACCATGAAAGCCTGCATCAGTAGAAATCAAGCTTTCTCATTTACACTGGAGTTGGAGGGGGAAGATCTGAGTTTCAACTTTTTGCAGGCTTGCTTGATAAAATTGTGCAGGTATCGGGGTGGGGGTGGAGGGGTGGGAGGGAGGGAGGGAGGGAGGGGAGAGGGAGGGTATTATTGCTCCAAAAAATTGATCTGTAGCCTTGCAAAGCACTCAGTTGCACTTCCTATGCACTTTAAAGATTTTCCATTACGAGCTTGTGTGCAAATAGCCTTAATTTAGATCCCTGTCTGTCTTTCTGCTAAAGAGGCAGGTCAAGATTTCCTTTTTGGTAGCTTTGGACAACCACACCTGTGTTTACGATTCATTCATCCCTTAGCTAGGAATATGAGGAGAAGCCACGCGTTCTGGGTTCCGTGCCTTCTGACATATAATGCTGCTCTCCATTGCTTTTTAGACGCTGGCGAGAATAGGATGAGGAAGTTAAGCTCTCCCTGAATTTAACGAATTAAGGCCCAGCCCTTTGTGAATACTTCAGTGGAGACCTGGAATGGTAACAAGGGACAAAGAGGGCAATTAGACTTATTCCGTCATCTGTCATCCTAACTAAAGGACAGCACTTGGCTGTTCTGGTCTGGCCTCAGAAGCTAAGCAGGATCAAGCCTGATTAGTACTTGGATGGGAGAATATCAGGGGGCTAGGCTAGAGGGGAAGTTGAAAAACCTTCCAGAAGAAAATGATGGCAAAGTTCTTGAGGAAACTCTATGGACGTATCCCAGTAAGCATCACGAGTTGTCCTCAACTTGAAAGAAACTTTTATCTTTTTTATTCATCAAAACATCACATCCTCACCAAGTGGGACCATGATTGGGAGCCATTCTTTCCTCTTCCTTCTCATTTTCTTTCCTTCCCCTACTTCTGGAAAAGCTTTATTGCTTTTGACCCAAGGATGAGACCTCATCTTCCTCTCTACAGCATCTCCTGAGTTTCCTTTGAGAAGGCATATGACTCTTCCATGGCTTTGGGGAAGGTTGAAGGATGTGCTTCCTGTTTTTTCCAGCCACTCTTTGCTGGGATTGGCTGGCCTTGATTAAGATCTTGTGGGTCTCAAGGAAATAATTGCCCTAACAAGACAAACTTCAGTAGGTTTTGCAGGAACTTTGAGATCATGTCCTTCTGTTTTTGCTATAAAGAGTCTAAAGCACCAGACATCCATGGGTTGTGTCTGAAGACTTGGTCAGTTGGCAAATCCAGCCTGTAGACATCTCACTGTGGATTCCTCTACATGGGCCAAGCCAAGGGTCTCTCAAAGTTTGCAGGGTAATTTTTAAGGGTAATGGGGGGGGGGAACGTATGTGCCATAACTAAATCCAGGAACCTTTTGCACTATATGTGTTAAGATTGTCCTTGTTAGTAGTCAGACTATATATTTCAGCTCTTTAAGAATGCACTTGTATTTGGGCAAGGACTGTACAGTAGTTGTTGTTTTTTTAAGGGAGTTTCCATCCTTTATTTACCTGTGCACCTTCATGATTTTTTAATTTTTCTTTGTAGGCTCAGGTAACTTGGTGTGCACAGACAATGGTTACAGATTTAACTTCCCAAAGCATTTCTAATCACAGGGTAACTATTGTGACAGGTTACTCACAACCACTCAGGGCAGTGAGTGGTGTGCCTAAAAAGAACACTGTCGATATAAGTGGCCATTGGTCTGTTCTCCTCTATGTCTCACATCTGGTTTTTGGAGGGGGGGTATATAATTTTTTTGAAGAAGCCCAGCTTCCATCTGGACCTCTGAAAATGTTGCTGCACTTTTCTTCTCTTAATCTCCGTTTATACGCACTTTCCTAGTCTGCTGAAGATCACGCTGCTGCTGCTGCGGGAATTCCTTGCAAGAATTCCCAAACAAGCCATTTTCATACCCTTCCTTCCCCTTGTATATGAACCACCATTGAAATCACAGTAGAACACTTTTCAAACGGGGATAAGTTAATTACGGTCGGAAGGCCTGGATAATCCAAATAAAGGCCATTTTTAAAAGTGTTTGTCCTCACGTGCACAGCACCGTTCAATCTTTTTAAACCTTTGTCTACCAGGTTCTAAACTGTACATGCTTCGGTTTACCTACGTACGTAAGCAAGTCTGACTCTAATGTTTTAGGCTGTGCTCTGAGATTTACTTCCGAGTAGATGCGTATAGGATTGCACTTCTAAACTTTGAAAACTTTGCACAAACCGTTGAGGGCCTCTTAAAAATAGGCTGGTGTAAAATGTAGCTGTGATCCTGAACTGTGGACTATGTCTTCCCTGTCCAGTTATTTAAAGCATTCTGTAAATGTCATTGTAAGAATGAGCTAACTCTATATTTAAAAAGAATTATGAACCTTGTTAAATAAAGAAATGTATCTGAAGACTTTTCATTTTGTGCTGCGAATTTTGGGTTGGCTTCCTGGATTCAGAAGAAAGAGGTGCCTTTTTTCTCATGTTGCAACTCATTGCTGGTTTTATTGTGTTCCATCACAAAGCATCATCATTGCACTGAGAGCTAATGTAGCGTCGAAATGCATATGCCTGTTAATTTTCCCATGTGCTTTTCAATACTGTATTTAGCTCTGTTAGCAATCTTGCGAAACACATATTTTTTTTAAAAAAAATAAATGGTAGGGAACATATGAAAAACCACCCAGCCTCTCTTCTTGAATTTCAAACTTAGTGATCCAAATTAAGTATTTTACCCATTGGGCTGTTGTGCCATGATTTTTCTTTGCTCATACAAATAGTATTTCCCTTATCATTTTTTCCCCCGCTGTGTGATAGACAGGATTCCAGCGCCGAGCAAGTGACTGGACTAACAGCCTTTCCCATTCTTATATACAATTGATTTTAATTTTCTAAATCTATTTCTCTGAAGCAGTTACAGTTCTGTGTGAATACCCTGCTCCATAACTGTATGATTCTTGAGAAAGGAAGAGGAACTCTATTTGGATTTTGGATTAATTTATGTCGGTTTGGTGGTCTCTCTTATCCACTTAACGTATCTGGAAACTCTGGTGTAGATTCCATATTTATCCTTCTTTGCACATTGCTCCCCCCAGCTGGTGATCCCTGTAAGAAACCATATGTGTTCAATGTCCGTGGTGTATGGACCCCCGCTGTCCCCTTGGCAAGTATCCTTGACTTCAGCAGGGTGACCTGCACAGAACATATTCGGCAAGATGGGATAACTGCTGCTCCTCAGACAGGTGGGTCGGTCAATAAACCGGATTTGCAGCACCTGAAGGATGCTCGCCTGCCTGCCTTGGTAAGCCAACTTCCCCCATCCACTCACGGTGCCCAGTCCAAACTTAAGGAGGTTGTTGGTGAACTCTTTGTCTCCAAGGCAAATTGGGATGACATAGTGGTTGAACGCCAAAGGTCTGTCCAACTCAAGGAGGGCAATGTCATTGTGGTACTTGTTAGTGACATTGTAGGTAGGGTGAGGGATTGCTCTAACCACGTTGCGGTATTGTTCGGTATTGTCCACAGCATAGACATTGTGTTCACCTGGAGGAGGAAAGAGGAAGGAAAAAGGAGGAGGAGGAGGAGGAGGAGGAGGAGGAGGAGGAGGAGGAGAAGGAGAAGGAGAAGGAGAAGGAGAAGAAGAAGAAGAAGAAGAAGAAGAAGAAGAAGAAGAAGAAGAAGAAGAAGAAGAAGATTATTTAACATAATTAAAGCAGGAGATTTTCCCCCCCCCCTCGTGTTTGTTAATGCTTAACTATGCCTGCTACTTCTGCCTGTTTCTTCCTCCACCACTGCCTCTTGGATTTCATCACAAACCAAGTCACTGACACACTAAGTAAATATATAGCCAGGAAAAGGGCATTTCAACACAACAGGTAGTTGATGGATTACCTACGACAATTGTTTGGGGGTGAAACTCAAGGCAATGAGCTGCTGTGACAATCCACTTTTCATTGATGATGGTGCCTCCACAGAACCCTTTCCCTTCGGAATTGAGCAAATAAACCTGGGAACAGGGGAACAAAAACATACAAAGTCAAGTACTGTTGGTTAAGAACAGAGTAATTCAATGATTGCAAGGGAAAGCCAAAATCTTGGTAATGAAATTCAGGTGAACTCATGTCTCTCTAGGCTGTGGGCTTCCTGAAACCATCTGGTGGAACATGATGGAAGACAGACAGGAGCCCAAACTCTACTGGATGATGGCCTTAGAAATCTGGATTTTGGGCAGCGCAAATGAATATCTTAGCAGGTGATAGCACCTAACACACCTTGTCTAAGTTTGGAAGCTAAGCAGAGGCAGGGTTGGCCAGTATTTGGATGAGAGGTTGGTTACCAGAAAGTCCTGGAGCTGTAAGCTAGATTTAGGAAGTATCTCAGAAGAAAACTTCCATATTGTTATTGTGATGTAGCTGTGTCCATGAAGCCATCAATAGTTGGCTTTGAAGTTGAGTTGGGAAGAGTTGAGTGTGAAACTTGACTACAAGGAAATGTTGACTATTGAGCATTCTGTAAGGGCCTCTGAACTGTTTTGAAGCCTTGTAGATAGATAGCCAGGTTGTTTCTGGCCATTCACAAAATATCCTTGGTTAATCAGCATTTCGGTGTTGTCAACAATAATCAGATTTTGGACCCATTAATAAAAGAGCTCCCCGGACAGTACATGAAAGTCAAGGCAATTTTATTACAGCATCCCTTTTCGTTCCAGGGAGGGTTGTAAAATGCTATAAAACAATTCAAGCCATGGATGAATGTGTTGCAGAAAGAACAAAAAGAACATAACCTGTTCCCAATCCATCAGAATGTGCTTTATTATATTATGATGGGTAATAAATATTCTTGGAAACGGGTCTCAATTCTTTTAAAATAGTAATGAGAACAGTTGCCTTTAGATGGCACCAAAGTGAAATTAACTAGGCAAAGCATAATTTATGTTAACTCTCAGCAAGATTCTGGTAGAATTTCCATAGGACTTTGGGGCTATAAAGATGGGATGTGTTTTAATTCAATTTTTTAATCTTTATTTTTATTTGACCATGTCCTTGAATTGCATGATTTGGGGCGGGGGGAAGGGACACAGTCGCATGCATTAACCTGGTGCATTTGTCCAGAAGAAGCAATAAGAAGTGGCTGAACACTGATGAATAGAAATAAAATAATTGTTCAGTCTGGTCAGTTTCAGCACAGGGAGCTTGAAATTCTCCGGAAGAACCCAGAAAGGAAGTTGAAGATATTGAATGAAAGTTTAAAATCCTTTGCTCTGTCTTTCCAACTGCAGCGAAATGGATCAGCTTGTCAAACCTTGCTTTATATCTGAGTCTTATTTTTCCAAAAGAAACGTCAAAACAATGGAACAAAACAATGAGATGTTTTAACAATCTGGGAATCTGGAAAGGCAACTGAAATGCTAAACTGCTGACATCCAAAGGAGAGTACTTGTTTGCTAAAAAGTATATGCCAAGCGTGTCCAACCTTGGCAACTTTACGACCTATGGACTTCAACTCCCAGATGGGGATTTCTGGGAGTTGAAATCCACAAGTCTTCAAGTTGCCAAGATTGGACACCTCTAGTATATACGGTTTCTGTTTCCCCACATGGGCACATCACACGTATATGACTGTACGGAGAGCAATTTTGGCCCTGTATAGGGTGGCCGTGTTTAGGAGCTCTCCAGCTGTTGCTTCAAACCCTAATTAACAAAGTGTGTTTCTCAAAACATTCAAGAAATCATGCCATTTTATTCTGGGTTGCTCAGACCCTGAGCGAAGTCTGATGTCTAATCCTTGGCCCAGTAGATGGCTTTATTAAACTAAGGATAATCCTTGTTTAGCGACTGGACTGCTTAAAGTCTGGACTTTTTACAGTTCCTATAGTGATGTTACAACCATTCCTTCCTTTTACAATCTTCTGAGATCTGTGAAGCAAAGGAAAACTGAAGTAAGGTCAGAAGCACATTCACAGTTTCACTTAGTGATGGTTTCACTCAGTGACTGAATTGCTAGTCCACGTTGTCACTAAGTGAGGGCTAACTGTCATTTAGTATCATTTCTCTGCAATGGCTCTGATGGAGAGCAGCAATTCTGGAGCAATTTGTCAACTGTCAGTTGGCATTTCCAGAAAAAGAAATTCCTGGGACATATTTTTTACCAAGAGTTTAATGCTTTACTGAAAAACTACATTGGCACAGAAGAAGCAAAACCAGCTCTGGATTTCCCATGCAAACGGAAGCATAGTTATTTCCCCCTTCTCCCTCTGAGCCACCCACAGTCCATTATGTCCACCAATCACTTCTGTTCATTTTGTTATGCGAAAACAGCTAGCCACGCTCGGTGTCCTTGAAAACTTCCAGAGATGCCTCAGTTGCCTAGATACCCTCCACTCATCTTTGCATTCCGCCACCCCTTCCTTTTGTGTCAAGCTGTGAGTGAAGGAAAAAATGAAAGTGAAAGGGTGAATCAGTCTTGACACAATTGTGGACACATCTCAATGGCCTACCTGCCAGGGAACTTCTCCTTTCTTGCTGTCCATGCCGCCAACCACTCGTATATTGGACGCCAAATGAAAGGAAACCTGAGTGTGGTTGTAGCCTTCTTCCCCGTCATCAGTGGCATTGCTTGAGACGATCCAATGATCAAATGAGTTTGATGGATGGGCGCGAGTGAATTTACTCTTAGCTTCTGGAGCTTGGATCATTCCACAGGGAAAGGGCACTGAGGAAGACACAAAAGGGGGGGAAACAGTTGGAAAACTGTTGGGAAACTGCCACTCAGGCTGGAAGGAGGAGTCAAGCGAGGTCCTAGCTTGGAATCCTTGGGCAGCCATAAGCAGCATAAGCCTGTTCTTCCCCAAGACTCATGAAACCTTATCTGGTTATTCCTAGAGAAAGGTAAGTAGTCTGGGAAGATTCTTGTAACACAGGTAGAAGTCTATAAAGTTGTTGAGTAAAGCTATTCATGGGCGACTGGTTGTTTGAGCCTGAGAAAAACTGGGCTCCTGAAAATCTTCTTCTGAACCAAAGATAGAGCAAGATCAACTATTAGATTCCAAGAAGATTTTCATAGGTTGGTAAGGAGATCTGTTACAATTCTTAAGAGTTCAACAACACAAGTAAGAAAATAGCTACTCCAATGCTCAAGAGTTGCTTATCTTTCATCTTCCTCCCCTGAACTTAAGGTTGAAGATCAGTTGTTTGTCTTCCAGCAACTTTTTTTTTTCTCAGCCAATCTGTATTAAAGCAATCGGTGTCCAGGCATGAATCCCTGATTGTTTGGGATTCAGACGTAAAGACACACTGCCAGAGGAAACCCTATTCCTGTCTCAGAGTACTGGGTGTCAAATTGAATAAATATTTTTTCCCGTCCACCACAGGGTAGAACTAAAAGGACTTTGGAAACTTCCATTAAACTAGTGTTTCTCAACCTCAGCACCTTTAAGATGCTGGCTGGGGAATTCTGGGAGCTGAAGTCCAGAGATGCTGGCTGGGGAATTCTGGGAGTTGAAGTCCAGAGATGCTGGCTGGGGAATTCTGAGAGCTGAAGTCCAGAGATGCTGGCTGGGGAATTCTGGGAGTTGAAGTCCGCACATCTTAAGGGTGCTGAAGTTGAGAAACACCGCATTAGACCACCAGGAAATATCTGGTTGGCCGCATTGAGAAACAAAACGTTGAATTAAGAAGGCCTTTAGCCTGACCCACCATGAAGATGCTGTTCTGGGTAATTTTTGCATTTCTTGCAGTTTTTGCATTGCTTTCTAGACATTCTCCCTACCTGTTGGTTCACAGGTTTTCATGTCTTCCTTCAGTCTGTATCCTGTGGCACAGGAGCAAACTGCTCTTCCGGCTTCATTGTCCTTGCAAAACTGTTTGCATCCTCCATTTTTGGTTTTGCAGGTAGCATCTATATTGGAGGAAATCAGATATTCCTCTTAAGTACTTTGGACGCGTGATTCAAAGAACCAACTTCCTAGAGAAGGCTGTAATGCTGGGGAAGGTGGAAAAGAAGGCGAGCAGCAAAGTGGATGGACTCAGTTACAATGGTGATGAGTGCATTGTTGGAAGATCTGAAGGATCAAGTTGGGGACAGATCCTCATGGGGAAAATTGATCTCAATAGTCACTCAGAATGACTTGATGGCACATAATCCATCAATCAAAGCTTAAAATCTGAAGACAGAAGAATTTGAAAGATCACGATGGACAGATTGAAAGAATCTTAATCTAAAGCTTATTTCCCAACTGCCTGAGAGAGAAAACATGAGTATATTGAGGTTTGTATGGACCCAGAACTGACATACATATGCATACATGTGCATGGGGGAGGGGGGTTGCAGCAAAGACACACAACAAGTGACACTCCTGATATTGCTAACTTACAACTTCTAAAATGGCCAGAAGTGAAAGAACAGGAATTGTAGCTCAGCAACACATGCCGATACCCACAGACATATTGAAGGGTATTTAATATCCATAAAATATGTAGACTTTCTGAAGATAAAGTCTTCAAATTGGGTTCAACTCTGGTAGCAAGAGAAGTCGCCTGTTTTGGTCTTCTATGATTTTTCTCCCCCCCCCTTTTTTTTTTTTCTTTTGACTTCTCAATCTTGGGATGTCCATCTAATCCCTCACCTAATTTTAGGACCCCAGATAGTTTTGCCATTTGCTGAAAAGGAAAAGCGAAAAAAAACCCCTCCATTGAGTCATAATAAAAGAATAAGAGTAAGGTCTCAACGTACCGAGTTCACAGCTCTTTCCTTCAAAACCACCTGGACACCAACAGACATAGTCATTTGTGTCGTCTTTGCAACGTCCTCCGTTCTTACAGGGGTTGGGATCGCATTGATCTCCATCTTTGAAAAAGAGAATGGACAATGAACGCAGGGTGGTTGACTCCATTCTTATTTTATTCATCGCTTTTCAGTGACCCTGTCAATTAATCCATAAGACTGTCTGTTCTCTTCCGACTGGAACAGAAATATTTTTATTTTGAACTATGAGCTCCATCGTACCACTAAAATGAGAAGGGGGGAAAAGAAATCACTTACCCATGTAGACTGTCCAAAATGTCATCTGCAAAGAAAGCAGAAACATGGGATTCAAAGGCTTTTAAATATAGGGTTTATTTTTAATAGATGATGGTGACAACATTTTTTAAAATTTCTATACTCCACAGGGTTCTTTGTGAGTTCATAATTTTTATTGTTTCCTTGCTGTAATCATCCAGAGATGTTCTTTTGAAAAGGACGATTTACAAATACTGCAAATCAATCAAATCAAATCATTGATGGTGCACTTTAGAAAGAAGCGGTCTCCATCTTCCTTCCAGAGACACTGAGAGGACTTTTACCCTTAGAACAATTTAGCCTGGTGCACGTCTAGTTAGAAAACCGGAAGGTGCATTCACACAAAACCTCCAGAACACAGGAAAGAGAGAGAGGGGAGGGGAGGGAGGCAGTCTTTAAGCAAAGATATACAGTACCTTAATAAATCAGAACCAAGAACTAATAGAATATAGAATCCCAAACGCTACTGGAAAAAGATTGCCAACAATTTTGGCATCAGAGTCAGTGGCCACTTCTCATGTCCAGCAAAATTAGAAGGTTGATAACGTAGTTTAAAAAAACAAACAAAGCCTATTTGAAGACAATAGCATTTGTTTAATGGACCTCATTCTGCAAAATCCAGTGCTGATCTGGGCTACTTTAGCAGACCATTGTCTCTTGCGCAAGTAACTTTCCAGGCTGATCAAGGATATTCCTCTGAGCTTGGAGCACTTCCCAACTTCTAAATCAATATTACAAACCCTCTATGGATTTAACAGTGGGGGGTGTGGTCTTTCTGAAGGAGCCATGAATCCTATGACCTAAAGGCCCCTCCTCCCCTCCTCAAAACCTCAGATTTCCCGCCAGGCGACTCACAGTTTTCTCATCGTTTTCGAATATTTCTCTCGCTTCTTCGTAGTTGCATATCTCTTCCATGCATTCTCGTTCGAGGTTTCCTTGGAGGACTTCCTCAAGGCGCCCAGTGTTGAATCTCCTGTATCGGTGCAAAACGGTGCTGGCTTCTTCCTGATTTATAAAAACTTCAGGATGCCAAAGAAGAAGAAGAAGAAAGCCAGCGTGAGCCAAAAAGATAGTACTTGGATCTAGCCCTGAGCAATTCTGAGATTGGGATGAGGCCATAAAGTTAGTCCTCGATTTACGACTGTAATTGAGCCTGGAATTACAATTATAAGTCATTGTGCTCATAAGACAAGGCATCAGATGACCAAACGTGACTCTTTCTTTTTTTGACATTTTCCCATCGGTCGTTAAGCAGGTTCTGCAGCCATTAAACGAATCAGTTTCCCCCAATGGATATTTTTTTTTGCCAGAAATGGGAAGTAAAGGCCAAAACCCCAGCAAAATAAATAAATCATAAATTGTGGTCAGGATGCTACAACAGTCATAAAGACAAGCGGGTTGCCAAGCAACTAAAATGTGATCATATGATTGCAGGAGGTGTAGCCGTTGTAACTTTGAAAAAGGGGTCATATGTAGCTTTGGAGAAGTAGAATAGAATAGAAGAACATAGTTGGAAGGGACCTTAGAAGTCTTCTAGTCCAATCCTCTGCTCAGGCAGGAAAACCTATACCATTTCAGACAAATGGTTGTCCAATCTCTTCTTGAAGACTTCCAGTATTGGAGCATTCACAACTTCTGGAGGCAGGTTGTTCCACTGGTTAATTGTTCTAACTGTCAGGAACATCTGTCGTAACTTTGAGCAACCAGTTATGAATCGAGGACTATCTGTAATCAGCATCCAAATATTCAAGTTTGATACCGGAGCAGTAAACCTCAGCTTTCCAAACCATTAATTTGTTATTCAAGAACAGGCTGCTTTGGCAGCAAGCCACAGACACAACTTAGCTCAATTAAACTCTGGGTTGCAGACAAGAACGATGTGTTAATCGTAAATGCTGAGCCGCTCTCTGCATTGCAGAACAAAGTTTAATGTCGCTTTACGATCCGGTGTCTACTCCACTCTGGGCTGTTTTCTCCCACCTTTCCAAGTTAAATGATCACGGGCCACTGTCTCTCTTGCCTGGAAAATACCAGTTGCCACTTGTACGGTTCAGCCATTACATCACCACTTGATCCGTCATACAGGAATGTGTTGGCTTGTGTGGTTAGGATGCTGGGCTGACGATCTGGAGGCTCATGTTTGAGACCCAGTTACTGCCACATGGGCAGGGTGAGCTCCCGTCACTCGCTCCAGCTCCTGCTGATCCAGCAGTTTGAAAGTGGGCAACGTTGAGCAGAAAGATGGGTACCACTTCGTTGGGCAACTTAATGGGGACATGAAAGGAGCGCCCAACTGGGCATCCCCTGGGCAATGGAGATATCACCAGCTGATCCTTTCACTATAGAAGCACTTTAGTGCTTCTGACACGGAAGTATAGTGTAGTATCCATAGCACACGGGTATATGTCTTCCTCCAATCCCAGTTCACCCACCAATTTACTTATATTTTTGGCGCAACACATTACAAGGGAGATGGAGAGGACAGAGGATGAGATGGCTAGATAGTGTCATTGATGCAATGAACATGAATTTGGGCAAACTCTGCGAGGCAGTGGAGGATGGGGGGGAGGATGTGGGTGTGCTGCTATGGTCCATGGGTTTGCGAAGAATCAGGCACAATTTAGCAACTGAACAACATCAACAAAGTTACAAGGAGTTGACATTAGTTCACTTCCTTAAAGGTTTTTTAAGGACAACACAGAAAGCAATTCGATCGAATCAGATTGCCTTTCTGAAGCATTCATCTGCGTAAAAATCTCCTAAAGCAGAATACGGGGACACCTCAATTTACAGCAACAATTCAGACCAAAATTTATATTTCTAAGTGAGAAGTTTTGTTTTGCCCCATTTTACAACTCTTCTCGCCACATTTATTAAGTGAATCGCTGCACTTCTTAAATTAGTAACACGGTCGTTAAGCGAATTTGGTTTTCTCACTGACTTTGCTTGTCAGAAGGTTGCAAAAGGGGATCATGTGACCCCGGGACACTGCGACGGTCATAAACGTGGGTCAGTTGTCAAGCATCCGAATATAAATCACGTGACCCTGGGGATGCCGCAGCTAATCCTTTTGTATTTATACTACCCTGTTACAATACTTGGGGGTGTAGAAAAAGTATTCATCCTCTCCCCAAGCTCTGTCTGCTATGTTTATCAGAAGAATGCAGCATTTGGTATGAGAAGCCCTCCGAATGCTGGACCCAAAGCTAATAATCCGTTCCCCACAATAAGATTAATAATTAAGCTTCCGGTTGTGACCTGTGACTTCTTTGTACAAGATAAGGTAGACCAATCCAGACAGCCAAAGGCTGAACTTCCTGAATGAAAACAGCGGTCCCTACAAACACCGACATTTGATTGGGGGCTGTTCATAATTGTCTTTATATGTGTGTGTGTGAATAACAATTAGTTTCTATAATTCCATAATCCACAAAGTTGCTTTTCTTGATTTTTTCTTCTCCCAGTAATATTTTCTTTTATCAACCTTAAGTTAGTACATTTCTTAGTATTTTAACAGATAATTGAATATAACCATTTTTCTAGTATTTCTACAAGTAACAACCACGTCAATATGAAGCTTCTTTTCTAATTAATCATCTTAATGATTAATGATTAATGCTAGTAATTGTCTTTTTTGTTATCTCACTATGAGAGCATCTTAAAATTAACAAAAGAGGACATTCAGAAACCCATGGAACAACATTCAAGCATGTTGATTATGTTCTATCATCCTAAAAGTAGATGCAAAATGTCAGTAAGAGGAATCAAAGAGTCAATTGATGCAGAAGCAAGCATTTTTGACGTGTTCATCCTGCAAAATATCCCAAGCTGTGTTAAATATCTACTGGAGTTCGTACTTCAACGCTGAGATAATTATATTTATTGCCCTTCGCTGTTACTGGCCTGGGTTAGCTCTAAAGAGGTCCTCAGAGCTAATGTTTTCCCTTGGTGTTGCAATTTAAAAACAAATGAATCTCAACCAATTTTCTACAGCATAGAGTGAAGGGCCATTTAACTTCAGGAAAAATAAACCGCTTTTCGAGATGAGAAAGTTGGCTTATTTGTCCCGTATTGATCTAACCACAAGAAGCAACGGATGGAAAGTAATCAAGGAGAGAAGCAACCTAGAACTAAGGAGGAATTTCCTGACAGCTAGAACAATTAATCAGTGGAACAACTTGCCTCCAGATGTTGTGAATGTTAAACACTGGAAGTTTTTAAGAAGAGACTGGACGACCATTTGTCTGAAATGGTATAGGGTTTCCTGCTTGAGGAGGGGGCTGGACTAGTAGACCTCCAAGGTCCCTTCCAACTCTGTTATTCTATTCTATTCTATTCTATTCTATTCTATTCTATTCTATTCTATTCTATTCTCCTACATTTCTTTAGAAATTCTATTTTATACAAAAACAGAAGCTAGTGATTGTACTGTTTGCAGGTGTCTATGGAGAAGATATCATGGAACATCAATGGAAGTAGCTAGATTCGCTTAGTGACTATGTGATTCACTTAACTGCAGCAATTTGCTTAAAAACCATGTTAAAAAAAGGACATAAAAGTGGGCGCGATTCACTTAACAATTGTCTTGCTTAACAACAGAAATTCTACCTGTAAGTACACCCTCGTCCCTCCCTCCCTTAACAGGCAGTTCGCTTTGAGCTGTTGATTCCTCATCAAAAGCAGAATGTGTTTCTCTTCGCCCAAGCCAAAACAGAAATCCAGATGTTTGTTAAACAGATGTAAAATGGACTGACCTGCACACTCAGCAAGGAAGAGACATCCCAGCAGACCCAGGGCAGGAACAAAGAAGCCGTTTGCCATTTTCCTTCAACTTCACAACAGTGTCCTGATGCTCGGTGATACGAAGCCGCAGGATCAATAGTTCCAAAGTGCAAGTCAATATTTGTTCTTGCTGGGTTATCTTTCTGGATGGGTTTCTGCAGCTGGTCTTCCAATGGCAGTCCCCCTTTTGAAGGGTTTGGCTAAATGTCCACCCCGTTCTGCAAAAAAGGATGCTAGAATTCCCAGGCGCGCGGCCACCCAAAATCCTTCCTCAGATCAGTTACCCACAAATGCCTCCATTTTGATTTTTGACCAGAAAAACCATGTAAAGAGCCCTGGTGGCACAGTGGTTAGAAAGGGGTATTGCAGGCTAATTTCTGTTGACTGACAGCTACCAGCAGTTCAGCAGTTCGATCCTGACCGGCTCAAGGTTGACTTAGCCTTCCATCCTTGTGAGGTCGGCAAAATGAGGACCCAGATTGTTGGGGGCAAATATGCTGACTCTGTAAACCACTTAGAGAGGGCTGTAAAGGACTGTGAAGTGGTATATAAGTACCCTTGCTATTAAAAAAAACTTCAAAAAACTAGCTGCTGTGTTTGCTTAATACATTAATCCTAGTTGTTAGTTTCTTTATTATTAAATTGTTTTTATCCTGCCTTTATTATTTGAATAAACATCTCAAGGTGGCAAAAATACATAATATGCTTCTCCCTTCTTATTTTCCCCACAAGAACAACCCTGTGTGGTAGGTTGGGCTGGGAGAGTGTGATAGGCCCAAAGGTGCTTAAGGTGGGATTAGAACTCTCAGGCTCCTGGTGATTGGCCCAGCCAGCTTTCATACCTAAGGTAGGACTAGAACTCACCGTCTCGTGATTTGTAGCCTGGGACTTTAAACACTAGATCCAACTGGCTAGCTTTAACCTTGATGAGGTTTTCTGTCAAGGGATGTTTGGCTGAACCCACGCCATTCATGGTTCAAAGCTGCATCTTTCTAAATAAATAAATCCAAAGGATCTAGGCTGCCAATGTTCTTGCAAACATATATTAAATCTATATTCTAATATGATGATTTCACTAGCACTAATAATGTTCCTCGTTGGGTAATGAAACGTTTCCAAGAAAACAGCCAAGCTCAAAGAGCACCAAGGACCCCACTATCCTCCTCCTCCTCCTCCTCCTCCTCCTCCTCCTCCTCCTCCTCCTCCTCTAGTTGATGTTCCCTAGTAGGGTAATGAACCATCTGAAACAAAATCACCAAGCTCAGAGAGCACCAAAGGCTCCACATTTTCACCTTATTGAAACAGCTAGATAAGAACACACCCTTCAGTGATCTTTTTCATGTTGCCATTTATTTCTACTTTCATTATACTTCATAATCATACAAATTTCAGCATTTCAACCCATTTCTCAGGCTCATTGGCCAACCCCTTTTTTTTAATCCTGCCACCTCTACCTTTTATTATGTTTTCAGCTAATTTCTGTGCAAATTGGAACTGATTTCAGTGAAAATAATACCCCCGCATCCCCAGAATGAAGCAAGATCCATTTTTGTGTGAGTGTATGTACTAAAATTAAATGAAAGTGACAAAGAAATTAGGAATCATATATCTCTCCTCCCTCACATGGTCAGGAGATAATGGGAAACTGATAGACTACATTGTGCCTCTTCCTCATTGCTCCCCTCTTATCACATTGTTTATCCACTCAATATACTTTGCTACCGAAGTGAAGATACTGTATGGTTCATCCCCGGTACACTCCGCTCCACAAGTTGCTATGCCCGTTAGAAACCACGTGTTATTCCTATCTGTAGCAAACGGAGCTCCACTGTTGCCATGATAGACCCTTTTAACAAAGGTAGGATGGCCTGCACAGAAAGTATTGGGCAAAAGTTGGCTCTCGTTCGTCTGCAGACATTTGACCTGATCAACGTATTGGATGTCTGCACGTTGAAGGATATTTGAGACCTTCTGTAAATAGTCGAACTGCCACCAGCCGCTCAGGGTGCTTCTTCCATGCTTCAGGAGGTACTCCGTGAGCACCTGGTTCCCGATGCAAATTGGGGTGACGTATTTGTTCAGGACCAATGGTATGTTTAGCTCCAGAAGAGCTAGATCATTTTCAAATGTGGTAGCATTGTAGCTAGGATGCTGGACCGCCCTCAGGACTTGACGGAGCTGTTCAGAGTGCTCAAAAACGCCGGTGTTGTATTCTCCTGATTCAAGAGAACAACCACAAACCCATTAGATGTGTTTTCAGGCTGACCAAGCTGCATCACATCTAAGAGATGTATCTTGTACCTACAGCTGGTATCTGCAACTCAATGAGGTGGTTGCAGTGAAGGAACATGGTTTGAAATACTTTTTTTTTTAAGGAAAAGGCATCAGGACCAGGGTTCAGATGACATGGTTGACCCACATAAGTTTCAACCTTAGGATAATTGTTCAGCCAGCAGCACATGATCATGGATGACCTGGTCAAATGGGAAGTGGGCATCTTTGATTGCTTCCCATCATCTCCAAGGATGGGATAAGACACTCTCCCTTTCAGCTTTAAAAATTCAGGGAAGCCCAGTCGCATTTAGATCAAACTATCTTAGGCAGGAGAGAGAGAGAGGCTTATCACCACCCCCACTATTGCTGTGGGGAGGTTCAAGAGTGAAAAGTAACAGAAACAGAAAGATGGCATTCTAGGGTCAGTCCAGATGTTGCAAAGCTGTTCCAGGACTTCTTCTCTGGGTTAGCAGCACAAAAGCTGTTAACATTAGGTTAGGCTTTTCTTTTAAGCTTATACAACATGGCTGCTATTAATTATTTTGGCTACATAAACCTCCTCTAATCCTAGTTGGATCTGGGTACAGTCACAATGTGTAATGGTCTACGAGAATGATCTAGGGAGACCGAGATGCAACCTAGATTAGATAAGAGGGGGCATAGTCTATAGTTGCATAATGGACAGAGCAAGAAGGTCAGGAGGGACCTTTCCTAAGTTATCAGGCTGTAAAGATGACAGTGCAAGAACTGTACATGCAGACATGCAAGATTCTGTTAATGTAGCTTTACAACAAAGTAGAATTAACTTGTGGACTTCAACTCCCAGAATTCCCCAGCTAGCCAGACTGGCTGAGGAATTCTAGGAGTTGAAGTCCATAGTTCTTAAAAGTTGCCAAGGTTGCACACCCATAGATGATTGCTTCCTTACCTGCCATGATTGTGTGAGGGTTATAGTCAAGGCAATGTGCTGCTGTGATGACCCACTTATCACTAATCAGCACCCCTTCGCAAAATCCTTTTCCCTTGAAGCTGAACATATAAACCTGGGAGCAGATAAATTGTGTCAGATTGTGACAAATGTGCAAAGCCAGGACAGAGGATCTTCCAAAGGCTGAACATTTCCCACCCATTAATACTTGCATTTTTCCTGGATTAAATCTCAACCTGTTTACCCTCATCCTTTCCAAGCACAATCTAGTTCTCTGGTGACTTCCCCATGTTGCCTGAGGAATTCTGGGAGTTGAAGTTCCACCTGTCTATAGAACCTGTCCATTACGATTGTAAGTCATCATGGTCGTGGAGCAGACCATCAAGTGACCGGACCCATTTTTATGACCTTTTTTGCAGTGGTCATAAAGGGGACATTATTGTTCACAAAGCAAATCTATTGTTCACTATGGGCTGCTTTTACCGAAAATCGCAAGTAATGCCAGCTTTCATAAAGTGCAGTCATGTGACTGCAAGACACAGTAAACAACTGTAAATCAGGTTGCCAAGTGCACATGTGGTCATGTGACCTCAGAGAGGAGGGCTGGCCTTCAGAACTGGTTCATAATTACCTTTGGGGACTATCTATCATACCTTCAAACAATCACTAAGTGACCAGTTGCAAGTTGAGAACTACCTATAATTCCTCCTCTGAGAGTAATGATGTCTTTTTTTAGTCTCTTAAAGGAAAATAAGAGGTGGGGCTGAGTTTGGCCTACATAACAATGACATGATAGCAATATTCCAGTATTTGAGGGGCTGCCACAAAGAAGAGGGGGTCAAACTATTTTCCAAACACCAGAGGACAGGACAAGAAACAATGGTTGGAAACTGACTAAAGAGAGAAGCAACCTGGAATTAAGGAGGAACTTCCTAACAGTGGGGACAATTAACCAGTGGAACAGCTTGCCACCAGAAATCGTGGACGCTCCATCATTGGAGGTTTTTAAGAAGAGACTGGACAGTCACTTGTCTGAGATGGTATAGGTTCTCCTGCTTGACTGGGGGGCTGGACTAGAAGACTTCCAAGGTCCCTTCCAACTCTATTCTATTCAATTTCAACCCAAGGAACTGATCATTTTGACGGATTCTTCACAAGAAGATGTGATGCAACCCGAAGGAATGCAGAGCGTGTGATGGAACCACTACTTTAATTTGCCTACCTGCCATGGGACTTCTCCTTTCCAGCTGTTAAACTGATTCAAGTCTTGAGTAGGAATTCTCTGGAGAATAGTCTGAGCAATGTTTGTCTTCTCTTGGTGGCTTTTGGTATTGTTGACGTAGCTCTGGTACGGTGAGACACTGGGTGTTATGGCTTCTGGAAATGTAATCGTTCCACAAGAAAAGGGTCCTGGAAAGAGAAGATGAGAAACAAATTGTCCAACCACAATCTGGGTCTTGTGCATGCTTAAAACAGAGTTGGGGTTGATAACCACATGATTCTTATGGGAACGGTGCTACACAACATCCTTTCTCTGAGAGAAGGAGGCAATGGCCAAGAAATGACATAATAGCAGTGGACATGATAGCTGTGTTGCAATATCTCAGGGGTTGCCACAAAGAATTGGGAGTCAAGCTATTCTTCAAAGCCCCTGAAGGCAGGACAAGAAGCAACGGATGGAAGCTAATCAAGGAGAGAAGCAACCTAGAACTAAGGAGGAATTTCCTGACACTTAGAACAAAATCAGTGGAATGTCTTGCCTCCAGAAATTGCGAATGCTCCAACACTGGAAGTCTTTAAGAAGATATTGGACAGCCATTTATCTGAAATAGTAGATGGTTTTCTGCTTGAGCAGGGGGTTTGGACTAGAAGACCTCCAAGGTCCCTTCCAACTCTGTTATTCTATATTATTCTAAGAAGGATAATGTTTGGAGATGCTTGGTCACTGATGTGACCCATCAGAGGTTCTGGCATGGTGAGTCAAACCATCTTAGCAATGCATCTCATTGCCAAGTTGTCATACAACCACAGTCTCAATGCATCAGAGACAAAAGAGATTCTCAAATGAAAGATGATTGAGATGGGCAGCTATAGAAATGGAATGGATAAAGAAATAACCCCCAGTTTTACCTGATCGTTCGCAGGTCTTCTGATCCTCTGACAGATTGTATCCATCAACACAGGAACAATCGGGCCTTCCTCTTTGCCCATCTCTACAAATCTGCTCGCAACCTCCATTGTTTATTGAGCAAACATCTTTAATGATGAAAGGGAAAGAATAAGAATAAGCTTATTGGGATGAGAGGGAGGCAAGGAAGTTGCTCTATTGGATACTTGGATTTGAGTCTACTTCCCCAAAGTACTTTCCATCTAATGAAAACGTTCCCTGCAAGATGGAAAAATGGAGGTCCCACACCTCTACTCCAAGAAGGTCTTTGTGCCCTGGTCCTGACTCCTGTTCTATTGTAAAGCAGGGGGTTCACCCTTGGAAACTTTAATATTTCTGGACTTCAACCTCAGAATTCCCCACCCAGGTCTTTAAATTGCCATGGTTGGACATCTCTGGCAGAACTTAGTAGTTCCTTTGCCACTTACCTTCCAGACACCTGATGATTTTTATCTAGGTTTTTTATTTTTAGTGGAATCTTGGATTCCCACATTCTTTACCTAAAAAGGTGATGAGGGGGTGTGGCCAGCTAAAAAAATTAAGTGTTCCACAAGGAGGGGGTAGATAAGTCCAGAGTCTTCTCTGAATTGAGACCTAGATTGCCAGGTATGTGCTGATGGTTTTTTGAAGGAACACTTACCAATATATATCTTCCAAAAGGCCACCTGCAAAAAAAACCCAATATTTTATAACATTGCATTCAAATAGAAATAGATTCGATTCTAAATTCAGACCCAAACGTCATATGTGATAATAATCTCATCGTCTTTCGGGTATACCCTGTCCCTCACCATGTCCATAAACTAGACAACAGATCTACAAGCCTCATGCTTTGAGAAGGTCCTCCTGGCCATAGAGTATCTCCTTTGATTTCAGATCTAAATAAAGTTTCTAGACTTTATTGGTCTATATAGGTACTTGAAAGAATAAAGTGATGCCTACTGAAATTGAAGAAAGTCATATTGGACCTGATCTTGAAGGTCCTAGATCTAGGGGATCTATTTTGCAAGCTATGCATTGATAAATTACGTAGATTCCTGAGAAATGAAAAGATTTGGCACCCAACCATCCCAACTCAAATCAGGACCAGGAAATTCTTCTGGAAAAACCTATTTATGGCACCCTGATCAGGATAGGGATCAGAAAGGGCAAGATAGTGGCTGTGTAACAATCTGAACTGAGTGATCTGCAATTACAAAATTGTTTGATTAATAGGCATTTTGTTAGTGAAGGAGGAGGAGGAGGAGGGAGGAGGAGGAGGAAGAAAGAAGGAAGTAGAAATTAAGTTCTCTTGATGCCTATAATCACCGTTTTAACATCATCTTCAAACACTTCTCGGGCTTCTTCAAAATTGCATATTTCCTCAAGGCATTCTCGTTCAAGATTCCCTTGACGAAGCTCTTCAAGTTGTCCAGTATTATATCTTCTGTATCGGTGCAAGACAGAGCTTGCCTTTTGCTGATTAATAAAAACTACAGCATGAAAAATAATGAGAGGTGATAGACACAAATGTTCTCTTGGTGAACACCCAAAAAATATCTAAAGACGTTTGAGGTTTTTCAGTTTTGCTTCATAACTGTCATCCTGTTTTTTTGTATATTATTTTATCCAAAAGAACCATGCAGCCTCTTTCATACTAGCTTAGAATGGAATTTAAAAAAAAGAAAATACTTAATTGGCAATATGACTACCTAATATTTTTATTTCGTTTAGCCTAACATTCACAGGAGGACTGTAGATTTGTCTTTATTGAGACAAGGAACATCTTCAAACCGTATTATTTTGTTGCAAATTTCACTGATTAATATCAAAAGACTAAACTATGAAATGCAGTTGATAAAATCAAAGGCAGCTCTGCAATCTTTCACCACCTTCCCCAGGAAGATAATAATTAAACTTCCAATTTGGACTAGTGATTTTTATCGCTAGTTATCAATAGAAGAGATTTCCACAGGGGCTCGGTAATCCTTATCAACAGCAATAGTAACATAGAATACCCTAAAATGAACAGAAGGAATTCACAGAAATTTATGAAGGCTGTAATTTAGCCTTTTTGAATTAACATTTTCAGCAAATAGAATACCAATGCGTTGGGGATTCATTGCAGTGTAAACTCCTTATAAACAACCCAAATTCTATTTGAAATATACATTTGGGACGACTAATTCCATTATTATCAATGTTATTCTAACTTTTTAAATTGGCATTTGTTCGTATAACAGCATGTTTTAATAATCTGTTTCTTTTTCCATTTTCAATTTCCCAAATCTACACTTTATGGGTTGGATAGATGCAAAGGCCACATAAATCAAATAAGTAGAAAAGGTTTAGGGTTGCAAATCTAATTTATACACGGTGACTTGGGAGCAAGTTCCATTTAAGCAACTATGCATAAAGTTGCAATTGCAATGAAAGGATGTTGTTTTGTCTATCTGATATCTGTGCTGTCTTTAGAAGCTTTAAGTTAAACTCATTTCCAGTGGCTTATTCCTTAATTGGTGACCGAACCAGGCTTTCATCTCCAGCTGAAAGAAACTTAGCTGAAAAGGGAACCAACCTGCACAGTCGGAGAGAAGAAGGCATCCCAGCAATCCGAGGATCAAGGCAAAGCAGCGGTGAGCCATTTTCTTTCAACTTCAGACCAGCTTTGCTAATGTCACATGAATGGGCACCTCTGGATCATTCGTTCCAAAGTGCAAGTACATATTTGCTTTGAGCTTAACACAGAGGTCATCTTTTCCCTCCAAGGTCCTTCCGTGGGCTTTTCCAGTTGCATAACATCAGTCTAAACAAGGTGCATTAGTTTCTGTAGGACATCACCCTGCTAAAAGGGATTTTTAAAAGGGTTTTTCCCATCCAGTCATGCCCATGAAGACTATACTGGTCAATAACTGGTTCTTCCATTTCATAAGCATGCTGATGGACATCCCAAAGGTGCTTTTTTTTCAAAGGACAACTGGACTTTCTTGGTTTGTTTCTTTGAAAATGTTTCACTTCTCATCCCAGAAGCAAAGAAACCAAACATTTTCAAAGAAAAAAAATCAAGAAAATCCAGTTTTGAAAAAAGCACCTTGGGGACAACCATATCCTGGACGATTGAGAATCTCCATAGACAGGTTGATGGACCTATTCTACCATTTGATTGTGGTGTAGGAGAAGGGTGGGAACTGAAGACCAAAACTTCTGAAAGACAGCGAGTTCCCTTATATCTAGCTCATGATTCTCGGTGATTTGCAATAATTCAGTTAAAGTAATCTTGGCCTAGCACTCTCCAAACAAAAATAAATAAATGCAAAAACAGCTTTGAGAGGTCTCCATTCAGAAGCCCTTTCCCTTGTTGAATGATACCAAGGCAAGCTAAAAGATGAGTAAATACTGTGAGTAATTAATCAAGCCGGCAGATCCTGCTGGCGTGCTAATAATGTTCTCAACGGTTAAAAAAGCACTTAAATGTATTTTAAGGCTGGGCAGCATTAACAGAAGCTTTGTATCCAGATCACTACAAATTCTGGTTGTAGTCTGTGATTGCTGGAATGCACCTGGAGGCTGGGAACCAGGTCCTCTAAAAAGGGTACAGCGAAGTCAAAAGTTATTAGGAAGTCTGGAACCCAAGGCCTATGAGGAACAGCTGAGGTCATTGGGATATTTAGTATATAAAAGAGAAAAGTGACTGTGTTGCAAAGAAATATTTATTTTTATTCATTTCATCTCTCAGTGTTTTGTTTTGAGAATTTGGATGGATGGATGGATGGATAGATGGATGGAATTCTAAATATAGCACTAGAACATAGAATATCAGAGGTGAAAGGGACCTTGGAGGTCTTCTAGTCCAACCTCCTGTTCAAGCAGGAGACCCTATATCATTTCAGACAAGTAGCTGTGCAGTCTCTTCTTAAAAACCTCCCGTGTTGAAGCACCCACAGCTTCTGAAGGCAAGCCATTCTACTGATTGATTGTACTCACTGCTAGGAAATTTTTATTTGGTTCTTGAAAGACCAAACAAAAGTTTCTTTGTTGATTCATTTTTAATTATATAAGCATATCCAAGTATGTTTTTTCTGGTAAGCAGTATTCTTGATTTGTTTCTGGTTTCTTTCAGGATAGTTTGATTTCTGGTCTCAACAATTGACAACTACAATGAATCAAGCCAAAAAAATAAGATTTGATGTAGGATAATGGTGCCAGTGAAAGGGATCTGGAATGAAAGGGTAACGCAATGTAAGCAGGAAAAATAGATATAGTCTCAACTAATAAAAGAGGAAGATGTCAACTGAAATCCAAGGATGGACAACAGATGGCCCATCCATCCATCCACTACCAAACGTGATTATCTTGACTGCCTGTTCTGGTTCCTGTCCTTGAGTCCTTTCCAATTTCATATTGCAAACTCTTTAGATCAGATTCAGAAACTCTGAGCAGTTTTTTGGTCAAAAGTGGGTCAAGTTTCATTCTCCTTGGTGGTATTAGGGAACTCAGAGCAATTCTTTCTAATCAAGAGCTGATGAAGCAGTTTGGAATCAGACAAAAATTCCTCCTAAACATCTCCTTGGGCGCCGGTTGATCTGGACCAATATTTCAAAATAGGCTTTGCTTCTCAAATTCTCCTCCAAAGTTGGGACTTCTTTCTCTGGCATCCATAACTATGCGATCCATAATCCACCTCCAATGTACACCCACCATACTCTAAATCTGGATTCGTATAAGAGTAAAGTTACAGTCGCTGGGCTGATTGATGCCTTTCCCCTGTGAATTCTTCCCTCTTTCCACTTAATCCTTTTGCAGATTTGGGTGCCTGCTAAGCCAATTCAATGCAGCATGGCGCATGAGTTGAGAGATTGAATATCTCTGGCTTTTTCGCTCCTCTCATATTGCAAATGAGTTGCACCGGCTCAGTTTTGAATAACGAAGATCATCCGAGCAGTGAAGGAGCTCAGGTACAAAAGGTTAGTGCATCTCACCAATACAAGGACAGACAAGAAGGCAAAGGAGGAATTCTTACGGAGGTGCAGAAAGGCAGAAATGTCCGTCTTCTTTTCCCCTCCCACCCCCCCATAAAGGTGGCACCTGAGTCTAATTAGCCTGCAGGAAAATGTGGGGTTGTGGGTTTGCTTCAAGACACACGTGCACACACACTCATAAAAATCTCACACTGTTTTGTCTGAGTCTCAAGAGTCTCAGCAGGAAGGTAATATAACACCTGTTTTCACACCTGTAAGCAGGAACAGATTAAAATCGCACTGCGACAGCCACTGCGAATCTCATCAGAAGAGCAAAATGATAAAACCAAGTTCTGGCATGGGCTCATTGTCCCTTCAGAGGAGGGGTTTTTTTTTCCCCTGCCTTCTCAAAATTCCTACCTGTTATGAAGCCTGGCTAACTTCATTGTCCCCTAATGCTGCCTTTCAATTATTTACCTCTCTGTGGGGTTTTTTTTTTTCTTTCTCTCTCTATTCAAAAATGCTCGGCTCTCCCGCCTTCCCGTTTCTTCAGGAAAGAGAAGCAAAATGTTCATATTCTTCACATCACCAGCTCTGTCGTCCTCCTTGAATGGACAGCAGAACTAGAAGAGGGAAGATATGGAGCAAAAAGTCGTTCATAATCCCCTCGTTGTATCCCAATAAATCTTAGCCTTCTTACTTGGAGGAAGATGTTGGAAAGAAAGTGGAGAAGAGCTACTAAGCCTTCCACCACACAGAAGGCTTTGTGAGTATACACAACACAGTGAATTGAAAACAGGATCACTGATGATGTTACCTAGTTTGGGTAATGAAATGTCTGCAAGAAAACAACCAAACTCAGAGAGCACCAAGGATCCACAGTCGTCTTCCTCCTCCTCCTCCTCCTCCTCCTCCTCCTCCTCCTTGTCCTCCCCCTCCATTTCTCCCTCCTCTTTGTCCTCTTCCTTCCTGCTTGTCCTACTACTAGTAGTAGTCTTCCTCCACGTCCTCCTCCTCTTCCTCCTTCTACTTGTCCTCCATTTCCTAGTCCTCCTCCTCCTCCTCCTCCAAACAGACAACAGTCTTTCAAGAATCTTTTTTTTTTTCAAAATGTTTTCCCGAGGGTCAGCCCTGAAATTGGCTGGGCAGTCTCAGCATTGAAATCCCCACTAATGTTTTCCCCCATTGCGGAGTGGAGGTGAGTGGCGGACAGTGATTAAAAAAACCACAATAAACAAAACCTTCCTAGAGTTTTCTGCATCACTCAGGCATGCAGAAAACGATGTTTGTAGATATTGGTGGCCAATGTTACCATACATAGACAGATTTAAATAACAGCAGTGGGCTATTTATAGCATCGCTGCAGGCACCTTTCCAACATATCACTCCCACCCTGGCATCCTTGTCTGTTGTTAAATAGCTTATCAAAATTAAATAAATAACAGCCACGGCGACTGCTGCAAAAATGAGGTTTCTCCTCTTGGTTTCCATGACATCCAGTCCATTGTCTTTCACATCCCAGGTGGAATTACAGAGCAGCCTGTGGGACAGAGAGAGTTTCTTGGCCGTTCCTAGGGCTGAAATGCCTTTTATTGCAACCTCAGGATGAGTGCCTTTTGTTTAAGACACACCCCCCCAGGTTTCTCCTCCCCCAAATAATGTTTATAGATCTTTTTTTGTTTTTGTTTTAAGGAGCTCTTGTCTATTTTTAGAAGGAGTGGCTCAGTTGAAGCCAACACTGTTACAGAAGTGAACTGGATCCCTCACTGGGGAAATCTGAGATTTCTTTGGGACGATCACAGTGCGAAGCTGGTTAATTAAGCCGGTACCTCTAATCAAATCTGGAAAACACTGCATTTACGTAAAAGAAAGAGCACTTCTACCTACTCCCACCTCCGCCAAATAATTTAATAATAATAATTGCCACCAGTTTGTCGAAGGTACAGTAGATGTGGCTCACTCAACAAAGGAGACCAAATCAATAGCTCATCAGCATGCAACACCCAGAGGAGCAGAGATTAACACCAAGATTAACATTAGACCAATAATCAAGCAGTGAACAATACCCCAATTAAGGACCTACCAACTCTGACAAACCACCAAGCAGGAAACCATAGCCTAATAAAGGAACCACCAAGAACATTCTCACCAACACTCAGGGCAAGCCACTGGTGTATAAATAGGGAACAAACCCCACTTGCTTCTAACACTGATGATGTCACCATGAAATGTCTGCAAGAAAGCCACCAAGCTCAGAGAGCACCAAGGACCCCACACTCCTCCTCCTCCTCCTCTCCACAAACCCTACTCCTTTCTAGCACCGATGATGTTACCTAGTTGGGTAATGAAACATCTTCAAGAAAGCCACCAAGCTCAGAGAGCACCAAGGACCCCACAGTCCTCTTTCTCCTTTTCCTTCTCCTCCTCCTCCTCCTCCTCCTCCTCCACCTCCATCTCCTCCTCCTCCTCCTCCTCCACCTCCTCCTCCTCCTCCAACTCCACCTCCACCTCCTCCTCCTCCTCTCCACAAAAACCATTCCCTTCTAGCACTGGTGATGTCACCTAGTTGGGCCATGAAATGTCTGCAAGTAGACCACCAAGCTCAGAGAGCAACAAGGACCCCACTTTCAGATCATCTGAGGACATAAAGAAGGCCACAGGGGCGGAGAGTCAGAAAGGAAATGTTTACTACATCACAAGAGTTCTTACAGCTGAGAAATAAGTGTTTGTTTAAGCTCAGCACATGGAGGCTGAGGCAGCCAAGGGACCATGTTGTGACAAATCAATGATACAAATTCCTTGGATTTTCAGAGCGCAGAATAAACACCAGCTGCGTGGGGTGAAGGAAGATGGTTGTTCCAATCAACGCCCCAGGGAGCTCTTTAGCACACCTCAAGCAATTATGGGTCAGCAAAGCTTAGATTAAATTGGACTTCCCTGCTGTGGATTTAAAAAAGATTTCCTTCCCATTCTTAAGAGATTAATCGGAGCTTTTTGGAAACAGTCTTCCAGAGCTGTGCTTTGAATTGTCCAAGGTAGATATGACCCACACACCATCCTTCTAACATTTTGCAGAGGGTCATGGAGATGTGCTTGCAAGAGTCCCAAACTTTTAACAAACTAACGTCCCAAGTCTTCCTTGTCACACTTCGATGTTCCTATCATGTACTTGTAGAGCATCAAGTACTCGGCAAGGCCACACTTGGAATCCTGTGTCCAGTTTTGGTCACCATGATACAAAAAAGATATTGAGACTACAGAAAGGGTGCAACAAAGATGATTAGGGGACTGGAGGCTAAAACATACGAAGAACGGTTGCTGGAATTGGGTATGACTAGTTTAATGAAAAGAAGGACCAGGGGTGACATGATAGCAGTGTTCCAATATCTCAGGGGCTGCCACAAAGAAGAGGAAGTCAAGCTATTCTCCAAAGCACCAGAAGGACAAGAAGCAATGGATGGAAACTAATCAAAGACAGAAGCAACCTAGAAGTAAGGAGAAATTTCCTAACAGTGAGAACAATTAACCAGTGGAACAACTTGCCTCCAGATGTTGTGGCTGCTCCAACACTGGAAATTTTTAAAAAGAGATTGGACTTTGTCTGAAATGATGTAGGTTTTCTGTAGGTTTGCTTGACTTGTCAGTTCCAAAAAAATTCAAGGGAATTTAAATTGCTCTGACTTGCCGGCACCAGCCGGCAG